TTGGTGAGGTCAACGAACTGTGTACCAACCTGTTTTTTGTCTGTCTCGTTCAACAAGGACGACAAACCCAACATCTCTCTTCCATCAGCTTGAGCTAGAACACGTTCACTTTCAGTAGTGTGCCTTAAATGTTCAGGAGCTACTTTGAAGATGTTCTTGCGGTGAAAAATGAGGAAGTTGCGTCCAATCTTTCCCATGACGATTGCAACCCCATACCATCTGCCTCCTACCAACCGAACGCCTTTCTGGTATTTCTGAGTTCGCCAGTAGGCAACATAGTCACCTGGCAGGAATTCCCTCTCAGCTCTTGGACGTGCGTTCAAGGCGGTTCGGAGACTGTTGTCATCCTGGGACATCACGAGGGCCATACGAGCTTGTGCTCTAATGGCAGCTGCTCTCTCTGCAGTTTCATCATGCAGAGGCGATGTAGCCGCCACGGGACACGGCCACTCTTGAAGGAGGTCGCTTGCAATCTTGGGATTTCTGCCAAAGACCAACTGACATGGTGACAACCCTTTCTGGTTTAGAAGCTCATTCTTGGCATTACACGTTTGGATGACACACTGTTCGTACTCGGCTTGACTCTTTGGTTGGACCTGATCAAGTACCTTTTGCAAGATCACCTCAAACAAATGGCCATGCTTCTCTACCTTTCCTAGCTGGTTGTGTGCTTCTGTCGCAATGGTCGAAATCCGAATGCCATCTTGTTCCAATCGTTCAAACACATTTTCAGCTGTATTGGTTTTGGCGGAATCGACCACGACCTCGACTGGAGCTCCTGCCCACCGTTGCCACGATTCCAAAAAAATCTTCTTCAGAACCTCGGAAGTCTCCTTCTCAAACAGTGGAATCATCATCTGGAAACTGGTCGCGTAGTCAACGATGTTCATGCATTTGACTTGTTGGTTCACTCTCCAACCGGGTAGGAGCTTCACGTCCCAACCAACCTTGTGGTTAAAATCATACACCTGCTCTGGTTTTGCGGGCAAACATGGTGTGGGTCGTTGTCTCTGCTGGCAGATCTCACACTGCTTCTCTACTTGCTCTGCAGCTTTCAAAGCCAGTTCATTGGCTCCGGCATTCTTCAGGATGCGACCGAGGGTTCGAGTCGACGGATGACCTAGATTGTTGTGCAGTTTCTTAACTAAAAGACCAATTTCCTGAACTTCGGAAGCTGCACACACTTCGGCAACCGTGCTCTCACTCGGTTCCTGCAAACAAGAAAAATGACACAAATGCCATGCTGGACGAATGCACTGCAGCCATGTGTGAACAAACATGGGTGTGTACTCTGCGGCTCGACTACTTCGTGTTTCCCCCCCCAACACATGCCCCTCCAATGACTGATGAACGACGTGTCCTGGACACTGCAAGGCGAGATCGGCCATGTCTTGATGGGAAACTGCAAGTCCAGTAGGCTTCAAAATTGGCCTGTCGTTGTCTGCGTCACGGAGGTCATATGCACACATGTTGGCTTTATGCACGGTCAGCTGTCCCGTCTGCAACAACTTCTGGATGGGAGGATGTCGCCACAAATCACTCGTCCATGGATGTTCAAGTAACACCCGTCCCCCACGTTTCAGTTGCTTCCGGATCTGCTGTGCACAAAAATCTGCTTGCGCTCTTGCTTGTCTTTGATGCTGTAACTGTTGCACCACTGGTAACTTACTTGTGTCTATTCAACCGATACCAGCCCCCCAATGTTTGCACTCGGGACAACAGATCAACAGCTCTGGTTTGGCTTCATCTAATTGCTTGTCGACTTCATTCTGCACGCTGGGTTTGGTGAGATCCCAGCCCTGCTTGATGTCGAAGGCCAATCCTCTCTCCCCCTGCTTTTCCACTGCTGCTGTGAAACGAGGTGGAGAAAACAACTCGGCCACTGTCACGCTGCCCTGACTCTTGGTCCATGCCTTCTGTTGAGCCAGCAAACAACGTTCTTCTCGTCTTGTCATGACTCTCGTGCAGCCTTCGAGCAGGTCTGACGAATCCTCTTCGTCAGTCTGTCCTGACTGGTCACTTTCTGCTGTCTCCTCCAACACCTCACGGGGCTCAGGCTCCTCCACCTGAGGGAGAGGCTCCTCACACAGAAACACTTCCGTCTCCTGTTCATCGTCCATGACATTCAGGATGAATTGACCCGCCGAGTTCTTCTGCAGAGGCTGTGGCTCGGATCCAGCAATAGACATGGTCTCTGCCTCAAAGTCCAAGCAAGCTCTCAAGCTCTTCATTGTGTTGCGACTGAGCAGCAAGGGTGCACTGCCTTTGATGATGCAGCATTCAATTCGACCTGGCTTCCCATGGATAGTGACCGGCATAGACACCACCCGTTCCGACAGCTCCTCCTGCCCATTCCCAAATCGAAACAAATTGTGCTGAGCTCGAGTGGGTGGAGCAGGCATCTTCTTGTCGTGGTACAGCCTCAAGAACTGGTTCAAGGTCTCCTGACCAATCAACGTTCTGCTGCAGCCAGAGTCGATGATGCCATAACCTGGCGAGGACACCAAATACACTTCTTCAACCATGGCAGCCCCATGAGCCTTGTCTCTGTCGGGTCGACTGCCACTTGTTGTGCTGCTGCTGCTCTTCTGGGGACAATTTCGGGCCCAATGTCCGATTTGATTGCATTTCCTGCAGCGGGACCTCTTCTGTAGATCAGTGACTTCTCGAGTAAACTGCTTCTTCATGGCAATGGCTTGGCCAAATTTCCTCGTTTTTTGCAGCTTGGAAATCTCAGACCTACGTTCTTTCCAGGTCGCAGCCAGAACTTCTGCAATCTCATCCTCTTCAAAGATCTCTGTTGCGGTGTTGGGCTCTGCTTGCATGCCATGCTCTGCTAAAAATGCTTCCACTTCATCAAACAACACGGAGTCCGGCGCGTCCTCTGTCAATGCACTGTTGTCCTCAACAGTCACCTCATCGTCCGGTTGTTGTACGAGTAAAGCCGACGCTGACTTGCCCCTTCGGCTCGCTCGAAACTCTGGAAAGCAACTGCGCATGGCCTGCACCACTGTCTCAAACTTCAAATCGCCCTGCGTCTTTGCAGTGACAATTGCACGTTGATCAGCTGAAAGTCCGGAGGAGTGTAAACAGATCCAGCCACGGGCTTCCGTGGGGAAATCTACCGACACCTTCCGTCTGCACTTGGAGAATGTCTCTTGCACCCTCGATGTCCAAGCTGCCATGCTTTCGCCATCGGTGGCGGAAAGCTCGAATACTTCCTTCAAGCATTCAGCAAGCCAGTCATGGGAAAGACGATCAGGGAATCTCTCCTCGAGTGCAGCCCAGATATGTTTGTCGCCATTCTCTTCCTTCAACCGATCCAACGACAAATGCTCAACTGCCTCTAAGGCTAGGCCATCAAGCAAACACAGAACAAATGGGCCACGGTGCGTGGCCGACATGTCCTTGCTGGAAGCCATCCGTGCTTCCGCCCATAACTTCCAGCGCCTGTATTCCCTGGGGTCCAAACTCTCACCATTGAAACGCTTGGTATTTCCCCCACCAGAATCATTGTTTGCCATGGCACATACGTGACACTGCTTTTGGTGCACAAGTCCTACCTAAGACTCTACAACACAACCCCTGGAGGCCCCCCGTCAGCGGGGGGCTCCGCTACCAATGTTCAAACCGAGGCCGTCTTGGCCAAACAAGGGAAACCTATCCCAAACGCGCGGCCGCCCCTTTTTAGCCTTGCCTAAGCCAAATGGGTTGCCTGTTCACGAACGAATGCTTACGAAATGCCTGCTTGCTTGGACACTGCTTTTAAATATATATATATATATCAATATATATGTATATACATATATGTGACTCCAAAAGGGATCATCCTTCACTTCAGAGCTTTTGAGTCACTTTGGACTTTCAGAGCTTGTGCATTTGAGTCCAACTGCCATACCGCCAGAGGAAGATTGCTTCGGATCTGACGAACTGGGACTGCTTTGAGCAAGTCGGTCATCAATCTATGCTTGTCCAAACAACACATGGTCCAACAAGCAACACCCCCAGTGAAACCACAGCTGGCTTCTGCATTTCGTCGGCCTGCGCCGAAAAGGCATTGTCCCCTGTGCCCTGCATGCATTGCGTCGACCGGCGAATGGATTCGGGTTCCACTACATAATATATATATATATATATTACATATATTCTTCTTGAGCCAAGCTCGAAGCAAACTCGCAGGAAAGAGCTGGCTGAGCACATCGGATTTGCCAACATGTTCTCAGCTTCAACATGCTTCAACTGTATGACCACCTTAGGTAGCCAACCTGCATCTGTCTGTGTTTGACCCCCTGAGATGAAACTGCCCTACGTAGACCTTTTCTGTCTTCATCCGACCATCACAGTAGTTGGTTTTCGGCCTGCCTCTTCAAGAACCACAACAGCCATCCGAAAGGGAGCCAAACAAAAGAACCCTTGTAATTACCAGACATGGCAGTCTCCCTTATACTAGGTTGCTGGCCGGTCAGGAGGATTCCGGTCCAGCGAATGCCATGCGCAGCTTTTCATGTCATTAGCTGCATCCACCCTCTCATCTGCGACTCGCGTGCACTTCAGGCGATCTCTGCGCTACCTTGTGTATGGATGATTGAGTCATTGCAAAAAGGTTTCTTTCCTCAACACTGAACATCAGCAAATAATCTATTCAAATACGGTTCTGGAAACATGCTGCAGTTTGGTATCTGTCTTAAATGATCAAACCACATGCGTCCTGACAAACTCCTGCACTTCTCGTTGGGACGCCTTCTGTGAGGGGCCTGCACTTTGGCAGGAAGCGCTCGGTTAAAACGCAAAGGCCGTGCATGAACCCGATCAGACCTCTTTCGAATGTGGTCCTTAACTGTTGTTCCCACCCAACACCTGTTGGAACCTAATGAAAAAAGCACAGCAATTGGTCCTTCAAAGGAAGGATCTTCTCTGGTTGACCACCTGCTCATCCTTTCCGGCCTTGCGACCTCCTACATTTGTGGGCATCGAACCGACCTCAGAGCGGCAAAACGCGGTCAGAAGTCGGAGCGCTCCGATGGAACCTGTGCACACACACTCAAAACAAGAGGAAAAACCGTTGGGTCAATCCATGTCACAATCCAAGGCCGACGTCTCGTGGATGATGATGGAGCTGTTTGATACAGCAGGCCGACGTCGCTTGTTGACCGACTGTTATAGGTCATCGGACAGACCCAAAGTATACATACGGTCGGAATGCCACATGCCCCGAAGAAGCTTTGGTTCTTGGTGAAAAACGAGCAAATCCAAAGGTGTACCAGACCAAGAGGAACGGCACGTGTTTCCGAACTGTGCCACACCATGGTCCCAAATTACAAGTAGCAAACCAAAAGGAATGGCACGTGGTTCCAAACTGCACCAGACCAGAAGGAATGAATGGTACATGATTCCAAAAGGCAGGTACGTGTAAACAGGGGTCCCATACACTTCCAGACTGCAGTCAGCTTCATTGAGTACGGTTTGCAGTCTGGCACGGTACCCCCTGCAAACAAACAAGAATCTCACAAACGCAGAAAGGCTCCCTCTGACTCCAAGGGTGACACAGGCACACACACACACATGACTCACGGGGTGTGATCACTTGGAATGTTTGATCTATGAATCTATGATATCAATACTGATATCAATGATATCTACGTATTTATAGCTATAGCTATAGCATGCTATAGCCGATCATACTCTCTTGAGACTTGAATATCTCTTGGCCACCCACCGAGCACCGAGCTGTGCGCATGCGTCTCTCCGGTTTCCATGGGTAGCGAATCCACCGCCAGTGGAGCGACCGGGAGGTGTGGGGTCCAACAGGGCGACACAAGGCCTCCAACCAACGGGAACCCTTTCAGACGGGAAGTTCCCAGCAAATAGTTATATATATGTATATAGAACATATTAGAACCCAGAAATCACCATATGAACTCACCATGAAACCATAATATGAAATCATCCGTTATCTTGTTGGACAGCATCTTCACCGCCAAATCTCTCCCCTTTGTGTTCGTGTTAATTGTTGGGTTTAATTTAACTTAAAAACCACCGCCCTTGACATCCCAATTTCAAGCACCCACCAGACCTTTGTCTGAGAAAAAGAAACAGCTGCTTCCCACAACAAATCATCGTCATCATGTGTCATCAGCATCATGTGTCATCATCATCATCATCGTCATCATCATCATCATCGTCATCGTCATCCACATCCACCGGACCAAACTCGCTCTTCCTGGTTCGGTTCCCGAGCAAGCGCCTTCTCTGGTGAAAGCGGCTCGCCATCACCCATGGTCGACCCAGGCGTGCGGAGTGGCCCTGGAGGCCATCGACCTCGAGAAGATGACCCTTTCTGGAGCTCCGGGGTCGTTGATCCTGCAAAATATCGATCACCCCAGGCGCATCTACTAAACAAGGACATGTTTCCTTTCTTTTCAGAAGCGTGGCACTTGGGGCTTGACCATGTTCTATGATCTTGTTTGCCAAGACCAAACTAAGGGGATGGAAACCACCAGGTTTGTGAATCGGACCTTCAAATCAACATGGTTCCGGCGGAAAGAAACGGAGCCTTTGGCCACCAGGTCATTTCCCTCCTTGTCCAAACAGTGGTTTGATATGTGTTTGTTTCTATCCTCAGGATGAGCCGTAAAAGAATGGGCTCCTAGTCTATCCAGTCAAGCAATTTGGGCATGAAAGATTCTCGTCTGATCTTCTTGGAAGTGGACATGGCAAGCTTGTTTCTCCGTTTGAGCTGGCCTCTAGGTGTAGTTGCCAAACTCACACCAAAAGATTTAGAAGACAGCACCTGCCGGTCCTCCCGGTGTCCAACTGTTTCCTACCGGTCCTTCCTGGGCGCCTGTCACTCAGTGATAAACGACCTGCCCCATCTGCCCCCCATCACTGCCCGTCCGCGGGCAAGAACAGGGCAGGTCAAGTCACATGTGTCCCTGTTACTAGTAGCTTCTTGTTCCTGGTAGTAAGGTGCCTTGCTACTAGTAGCTTCTTGTTACTAGTAGTAATGCCAGGAGTTACGTTCGTAGCTTCTTGCTTCCAACATATTCAACACAGTGGCCAAACACGCACCGTTCTTGCTTTTCTTGGTGAACCTCACGATAACATAGAATGACGAAGAAAGTAAGAGAGGACGAATGGAATCAAAGTGCCCCTCCAACTTCCTTGAAGGAAGTGCCCCCTCAATGGGGGAAGTTCCCAACATTGGATGTTGTTGGAGGGGGCACCCCAACAATCTAATGCAATCAAAAAGAGTGCCCCCATCCAACTTTCTTAATATTAGACCATTCGCCCCCTCAAGAAATGCATGTCACCAATTTCCATCTATTTGGATTTGTATTTTTAAATAATTAGTGAGAACCAACCCAACCCATGGGGTTTAGCGAGTGAGTCTATTTTCCCTGGACCCAGGGGCCTTGGCAGGGCCTTGGCTAGTCTCCCATCTTGGGCCATTCATCATCACGATATGATAAACACATATGAATCATATAAACAACAGAAGAAATGTAGTAATGCAAACACGCGTTACCAGGATCCTAGGAGCATAGAAACATGTTCACTACTCTATCTAGTTAAAGATGATTGAACCTCCAAAAGACATCCTAAGCTCCGAACGTGTGGATCTCTCCTGGCAGCTTTGGTCCACAAAGGTGATGTGAAACATGCAGCACAGCGTCTCGTGGCGAACGTCTGCTCTCATGGACTGTGCTAGATTGCTCGACCCGGGCTGCCCCTGATGTTGTCACCAGTCCACAAAGAAGGAAGCAAGGGGAACACTGTCAGCCACCTGACCCAATCGTTCCCGTATGCAGTCCCACATGCAGTCACATGCACCTGTGACCTGTGTCCCAAATTGCTCTCTCACCTTTCACGACCAATTCCCAGCATTTGAAAGACTCAGCTGTCGCTGGATAAAACAAACCTATACCACAACAGGATCTTCCATATTTATACACTATCACGCTAGACCTTTTGGTTTGGGGGTGCAACCACGAGCCACCTGACGAAAGGAATGCCGGGTAGTCTCCTGCTTGACTTGCTCATCTCGCAAGCGGCTCGCATCCTCGGGAGGGGCCTGAGCAGCGACCAAGCGCACTTGTGTCGTCACAACGAAATAGGTTTTGTTGGCCTTAAATGGCTTGGCCGCTATTTAGAATGATTTCAGGTCTGGGTACAAACCCTTCTGGCCCCTACATTTCAAGAACTCCTTCGCGGTCCTTTCCACGTTTCATGAAGCATGTTTGTCCATTCACTGCATGCGGCTGTGACGGGTTAAAGCCCGTTGTCTCAAACCTCCCAAAAGCCTGGATGAGTTGACCATGTCCGGTCCATTCTGTTCATCTGACCATGTGGTCAACCAGGGTCCTGCTGCTTTGACCAACAGCAATGTTCCTGCCCTTGGCCACCTCACCTGTTGACACTCTTTGAGGTGGCACGTTTTGAACCCTTGTCTTTACTCTCTGGCTGGCACTCCAGAACTTCTGCGGAGAATTCGCGGAACTCTCTTCCGAAGCTCCCACTGTGTTCCGAACATGTTGAGTTGAGGACCCTCCAGAATATTTCCTTTCCAGTTTTCTTGGATGACACACTTAGCCTCCTCAGTCTTGTCAAGACTGCAACCTGATTCTCCATGCTGCCAAGTGTCCAAATTTTCGCATTTCAGCTTCAACCTGGTTGGTCGCACAACTCACCCTCCTCATGCTTCCATCATTCCCCAAATGAGAACACAACTACAGCCTTTCACAACTCGACTCCAACTAATTACCAACCCTCATGATAAATCGCGCTCCCTCAAAGGACTTTGCATGCCCATGCTGGGTGCGGCAAGATTTGTTCGACTCAGGTAAGCAGGGGTTTGCTGTATCGTGTGTGAAGAACGCTCATGGTCTCAGGTGCACATGGTCTCAGGTGTGCTTGTTGCCTCATTTACTGAAACAACCAGCGCCCTTGTTCTGGTTCCCGTTTCAAAGGTTAAAGATACGTCAAGATGGCAAACTGCGCGACAACAAGCTGGTAGGCCCCAGAACCAAGATAGTATCTTTGAATCATGCTAGGTTGACATCCTTGGTAGTCCCCCTTTTCGAGTGTTCACCATAGTCATGGTCAATCCGCTTTTTGTTGGGCTGCCATGACACATACAATTCAATAAACACCACACCCATACCGATACCCGACCACTTTCCCAGCCGAGGAACTCCTTCATCCTTGCCCGCGTGGCGAACGACGCGCGTGAACACACAATGTGTTTTTGTGACGGCAAGCGGTAGGACATGTCTTGAACGATTTGGGTCCAAATCAAAGAGATCTACGCTAGACGCATCACAGGCATCACATGTGAGGCCAAGGTACAGACAGGCAGGAAATTGGGTCTTCCACCTTCCACCCACATAGTAAGCGCCATATGAAGGAGGAACATCGATAAACAATGTGGCACTTGGTGCCTTCAACCCTTGAAGCCCAACTCAAGGCCCCAATTTCGCTCTTGGAGTCCTATCCTTTCCTTTTTTTAATTAACATCTTCTTATTTGACTAACCAGCATGTTGATCGGGTCAAGAGACGAGTCGTTTCAAAGCAACCTGTCTTATCTTTTGTTGAAAGGTCTCGTACTGGGTCTTGGAAACTTGGGGTCTTACATTGATCCACCCTTTCCAGCCCTTGTTCAGCTCATGAGCAAGTACTCTTCTGAAGCATCAGATTCGGGAACCTTCAGAACCATGGGGACGCCGTGCCCATCGACACTCTGTCTGAAAACATGCATCCTCTCCGTCCGTAAACCAGTCCCCACCCACTATGGCTCAAAACTAAGAGAACATCGACCAACCACTTGCTTGCACCGGCTCACGTGCTTTCGCTTGACCAGTTGCCAAACAGTGGTTCGAGCCCGACTCCACTGCTATTGCACTTCGCTAAACTTCCTTACACTTCAAGTCTTCGATACACCCTACTCGCTCCCCTGGTCCAGCTCTCAGAATTCTGCAAAGGCTCTGCTCCAAAAGCTTCTGCTGCTGCGCATGCTCTTGAGCCTGCTGTGCCTGCTGTGCGCTCATCAGTGCCTCGTCAAGGACCCCAAAGGCAAAGGTTCTGGGGTCTTTGGGGTCTTGAAACTCTTTGTGTCAGAGATCCAGCGCAGCAATGATGGCCACCACTTGTGGAACAAATCAACTTGTACGGAATGATGACATGCCACAATTCCTGACGAGGCACAATAGGACGAGTCAATGTACGTGCTGAAATTGATCCATTTAAACACATTCTAATAGGAACGTGGACCAAACAGCAAACTATATATATAATATATACATACACCGAGTTCATGCCCATCCTCAAGCAACCCAAGAGCAACACTTTGACTGGCTAGATTCTTACAGCTTTGTGCTTCTATCCCGAGTCCGGTGCATCCAATTTTTAGAATAAACAGTAGTTTTGTCAACCATCCAACATGAGCCTTCGATGATTTTTCCCCTCACTATTGTTGGGTAGTGTGATGCTTCCAGCTGCTTTCAAACAAAAATGTCACAGGTTTAGTCTGGACAAGCTTCCCAACATTGTTAATTATAAATTGGTAGCTGAGCATGTTATTCAGCACAGTACAGGGCCCTAATTTAAAGCTTTGGGGCTAACCATAGCTTGATTCACCAATGTGATGCTCAAGCAGGCCCAAAAGAGATGAATACGGCCGGCAGCGACCTGCCTCAGCAGCTTGAAGCTTCCACGCACACCGTTCTGTCGCCAGCTGAACATTAAACATAAAATGTGACATAGCTGCCTGCTGGTCCAGATATTGAGGATCATCACCGCGCAGCCTTGTGGGACTTTGAGCAGCTTCTCTAACAAAGGGTACCCTCCCCAATGAAACATTGAACGATATTGGACGTTGAAGGACTTTCCTCTTTTAATTATTGTCGACTGCACTTGGATCCCACAGTCTTCATTCCAAGGTGCTCTCAGCATCTCTGCAAGCTGCGAGGCCGGTTTGGATTCCACCTGCGCAGGTTGAGCTCTCAAGCAAGCACAGATCCGACGGCAATATAGGCATCGAGACCAATGTATTGAAGGATCTCGCGCTTTTAGACACACGATACATTGGTTTCGCAGCTGCAACATCACCCAACTACTCTGGCATTTGACATTCTGCGAAGTCAATGAAACACAACATCTCAGCCCAGGCTTCTCTCTGAAATCAACATCTCTTGTGTCTGGCTTGCGATCCTCGAGACGGCAAGCACATGCAAGCACTCTATCTACCATTGATCTGTGGTGCCCTTCGGTTTCACCAGTTTGCTCTGGAATGCTCTGGAGTTCAACTAACTTGTCCTGGACCATAACCAGGACACTGGGTCGTAGCCATCTCACCCTTCTGCATCACTTTGAAAAGAAGGGTTCTAGTACATCCCAGGTATGTTGCACTGAAAAGCCGCCTGCCTAGGATCCAAGAACTTGGTCATTTTAAGTATATAAACACCCTCCCTCCAAGAATCATGGAAGCTGACCAGGACCCCCTTGTAGAGGAACATGGTCTTCCAGGGGCCTATGTTCCACTTCCATGATTTTCAGGGAGTGTATTACAAACATCAAACAACCAGGTTTCTGGAATGCAACAAAGCAGTTCTCTTCAGCTCCATCCCTGTCGGCTTTTGTACCAAACGTGCGCTGGACCTGCGGTAACTCCTGGTCTTCCTGGCAAGCCGGGCATCCAAAGACACCACCAAGATCCGGCAATGCTAGCACATTGATCTTTTTGAGATGAATATTTCTCTTCACACCGCACCAGCCGTGTGAGGATCACAGGGCGAACAATCCGACTCGTCTGCGATAAGATGAACATTTCCTCTACCATAGAAAACTGTGAGAATCGATCTATGCAAACACATTGTTGTACGTTCAGAGAGAGTCGAGACCATCGCTGCTGGTTTCAATCCCGAAGCCGCACAGTCTGGAGGTGCCCCCCTCAGGTTCGTTGTTGACATCTCTTCAAACAATATTGTTTTGTTCGGTGGAAGGGTCTTGGGGTCTCTGGTCTTCAGGAACCAGGGGCAACCAGGCAACAGTCCCAGTGCCTCTCATCCCTGTCCAGCCTGTGCTTCATCCCTGTCTGGGACGTACCAAGAAAAACATAAAACAAACACATCAACACCGCTAAGTAATTGGAGCACTGCCAAGTAGTTAGAGACGTCTGAACAAAGCTATTTCCCTTATATAACATCCTCTAGCCTGTTCCACATGTCCACACAGCTTGGCCTCCATCTTCTCTTCAGCATCTTCCACCTCAAATGCCGGTTGAACATAAGATCTCACTTCTTCCCACGAAATCCGGACAAAAACGTCAACACAGGTCCTTTGAAGTTCCGGCAATAACACCTCGTCTACCAGGAAGTCCTGATGTCTGAGATGCCCTCAGTGTGGAGAAATCCTCCTCCTCCTCCTCCTCCTCCCCCTCCTCCTCCTCTGCAGACCCTTCCCAACGTCTCGAGTTGGCTCGCATCGAACGCCTACCCTTCTTTTTGGCTCACCTTCTCGACCTTCTCCGGCGAAGTCGCCTGCGCTGGGAGGAACGTTCAAAGCCTAGAATCATCAGATTCCAAAAACAACAGAAACGAGAAGTAGTCATCCATTCTTTCTGAAGAAACACGGCAACCTTCAGAACTGACAGGGTGATCACAGTAAAGAACATCTTGCTGACAAATGCGGCTTCGAAATAGGACCCTGAAACATCATCAAACATCATCAAACCCAGTACAAAACCCGTTCCAAAAGCTTTGGCCCTTTTCATGCCGTTGACCAAGGCATGTCCGTTTAATGACCTCAAAGGTCACGCCCTCCGCCGCCCTCCGCCCTCCGCTAGACTCACGTGGCCTCAGACACCTCGGGGTCTCGCGTGAGCTCGGGGTCTCGCTCCACGTGGGTGAGTTGCGCATGGAGCTTCTCTTGGAGTGATGCTTGCTCTTGCCTCGGTGGTGAACGAAGAAGTGGGGCACGAGTTCGGCGACCTCTGGAGACCGGGTGTAGGACAGAGATTTGGAGTTGAAACACTCGCACTATTAAGCTTACTCAGGGGCCATAGGCATAGATCCGCGGAACGTTGACAGTGTTGACCTTGGTCCAAGAATTCCGTGCCAAGTTGTGCGTCTCAAACTCATGGGGCTCCCCCATCAAATCAATCGTTGGCAAGTAGAATTCGTAAACTTGGTAGGGATGGCGGGGTCGCGGTGCCACCTGAGCGTCCCTAACTCCCTTTGAGAAACAACGGGTCCGGAGTAACAGCAGTTTGATCCAACATGCCTACTACGTACGCTTCAGGCTCCGTTTCGCGCGGAGTCGCAAAATCCCACCTCTTGCCGCTCACCACCTCGTCATTGCGCATCGAATCAGCGTCACCGTCAGGTGACATGAAGCGTCGGACCATCCGAGGCGCTGCCAGCGCTTCTGAAGAGACTGGAGCTCCTCAAGTTGTTGACTTTGGAGCTCCTCAAGCCTCGCAGAATTCGAATTGACAAGAGAACGTCCTACGAACTGGAACGGTCGGACCATGTCGGACCTAAGTCGTGACGACTACTCGGGAACAGGGGAGATAGGTTTCGTTAGGAGATAGAGGGAGGGAGTCTGGGTTTTGGCAGGCCTGCCTTGTGCCCATTGGGAGAAAAGTGGAGAAGGGGAGGCCAGCAGCCGTATTCTCCAAGGGAAAGAATCCTTTCTGGTACCATCCATTTAGCTTTTGAGGCCTGTGATGTGTGCGCGCGCGCCTTGTGCGGAATAACGTGAACAAAAGCACCTGGCAACGCCGACATAACAATTATCTACATAAAATCACACGGGCTTTTTGAACCTGTATGTCCATAGATGCATAAACAAAATCAGAAAAACAAACAACATTAAAACAGTACATGTCTAATGTGTCTGTTTTAATATGCATAATGTCATTGTGAATCACACGCACATCAAACTGATTACTGCAGTACGTATTCTCGGCTAAAGCAGGGTCTCATCAATTACTCTTTACCACATTGAACATCGCCAATTCTCTCCCGCTTCTCAGTCAAGCCGCAGCTCTGGTTGCTCAGTGATCACTGGCAATGGCTTCAGCCAAGCACGCCCCTCCTCGGCCCGAACAGCAAGCGCGGCCGTTGGCATGGGCGTTCCGAATGAACACATCCTCTTCTATGCCTTCACCCTTTTTCTTTCAGCCGCCTCGACTCTTGTTTGTGCACGCATGCACAGTGTATGGCTGGCAAAACTGCTCCATTTGCTCCTATGCCCAAGCGATTCATCAGTTCACAACAAATGGGTCCTTGGTTGCTTTGGAAATTCGACATGTGTTTCATCTATGCACAGGTGAACACAGGGACAAAGAGAAAGTATAGTGAATCTGGAAAACGCAAGTTATAGTATGTATGCACATCTAGAAAGGGGAACTCACGCGTGAAACTAATAGACATATATAGAAATATGATGATATAACCCGACCTCTATGTCTATTGCCGCGCTACTCCAGGGACGGACCAAGCGCCCGGCTGAGGGGTCCTCCAGTGGGTCCTCCCATGTCTCGTTCCTGAGGCCGGTGGTTTTCAACAGGATTGTTTTCAAATGAATCCCAGGATGAATCCCAGCTGACCTGATGTGATTTCAGTCGATTTTGTCTTCGACATCAGCTGACTCAGCTGACACGTGAAATCAACGAGTGGGATCCTATTGACGATAGTCTCAATGGCTCGGTGATTGTAGGTTTCAGCCGATTTGAATCTACAAGATCCCCCAAGCAGCCAAAGATGGAAACACACCAACTTAGTAAAGAACCAGCGTTCAAATCAGAGGTCCTTGTTTCACGTCCATGCGCGTCACTGTTGGGGATGCCGATTCTCTCAGGAAGCCCTGCAGAGTCCTTGGGCCCCACAACTCATGTTAGACATACATGTCAAGGATCCAACGTTTTTCAAACGCTGTGCTTGGAAGTTTTTTTGTAAACAAGAACAGACCTTCCCAACTACATCTTCTAGACCCCCAAATAGATAGAACAGGACATCCCCACTAACCATGTTTTGGAATGTATTGGACACCGTTTCTATCTATTTGGGCACCACTATAACATCGTCTTGTATTATAAAGCACTATTTTTTGCCAGCATCAAGGAGCATTTTCACTCAAAGCGTTTCCGCCGGCGCTTCACAAACAACATGGCCATGTCACGGCTGCTCCATTTGCTGCTCCATCTGCTCTCGGTCAAACCTGGTGGCATGGCCCCGCAGGGTTCGTTTCCGCCCCGCCCTCGGCACGGCTGGTCCTCCTTCGTCTCCCAAGGCCGGGGGGGGACATGGGGTCGGTGACAGCCCTCGTGCGAACAACCGATGCATGGAGGGAAACCGATGCATGCTGAAGAGTATGTATCCGACCGTTATTTCACACCAGAGTGTCTGTAGCACCCCCTCCAGGCAATTCCCTCCTTGCCTACACCACAGCCTTGTTGCCATCTCCCTCCGCCCCTCCGCCCTCCCTCCGCCAGGTCCCTCCGTCGCTCGAAGCCGGTCGCCACTCGCCTGGCTCCTAGTAGCGTCCTTGCTCCTAGTAGCGATACCAGGAGCCCCTAGTAGCGTCCTCGCCTGGCCAAGCGCTGCTGCTGCTTCTCTGCCAGCTCCTGGAGCTTCTCGGCGTTCACCACGCCGCTCTGAAGCTTCACCGCCTGCCACGCGTTTCGCCACGGACGCCGGGACGGACGCCACGATGATATGGGGAAACCACGGACGCCTCGGGCTCTTGGAAGGGAAAAACTCCCTAAACCCTAAACCTTCAGGGGGGATCCTCAAAGGATTCAATTAGCTACATGAATCAGCGCACTGGGGATCTTGTGGGATGGCTCGGGGGACATCACCCAACAGTTCGTTTTTTGCTCAATCTGCAGAGAACAATGAGAGAAACTTCCTCATCTTCTATGTCAATGCTTCTGAGAGCAAAAATAACCACGAAGCTCATGCCTCCAGCCTGTGCCGAAACCAAAGGGACCGAAGGAACCGAAGGGGCCGAGGACACCCTCCGACTGACCACCAGGACGGATCTGGCAAGATCTGCTCCCCAAAGCTCTGCCACACAAAAACAGCGGCCGTGTGTTTCTTTGGAGGGTCTTTTAATCGCATACGTGTTTTTCAGTATTGGTTACGCTCGTCTTTCATACATAGTTACATAGTCATACCATGATATGAACCGCTATATGAACCATACCCGTCTAGCTTTGTCTTCCTGCCTCTTCCTCCAGCTGTCGCTGTTCTTCCTGCCGGACACAATCACCCGATGCGCCAGCTAGGCGCCATTTGAAACGTCCGAACCCATCGGGTGCCCGTTTTCGGGCTCTGCAACAAATGGAAATTGATGGAAATGGTGGAAGCTACCTCTTGGGGATTCATGGCATCCAGAGTGAGGCCAGCGGAAACCAGCATGGGTGGAGAAGCTCTGCAAGCCCACCATTAAGATTGAAATATGTTGAACTTGTAATAGGAAGATGGTTTTTTTTGCAGCATGTCATGTGCAAAGTGGGCATTGGTCATTTGCCAACTGTGCTGCTCACCCAAGGATTGGCAAAAAAGGATCCTCACACACAAGCAAAGAGGTTCTGAGTTTGTCTGACCACATCCTGCACCACTTCGAAGCCCAAACCGTACTTCTTCGCCCTCCCCATCTGTTTCGGAACGTCATCGATGCCCGCCTCCAACTGTTCCCTGAGCCGCTCCAAACGCTCCAAGTCATTCGGCTCTTGCTGGAGCGAAGGTCCCGGCGAGATCAATGGAACGGGCCATCCAATATGTCGATCCGACATGTTTAGACGGGCGAACAAAAGGGAATGGAGGGATGCAGCAGTCCCCATCTCTTTCCAGGGGTCACATTTTGGTATGTTGGGGAGTTGAGGGCAAGGCCGATAGCGAAGGACCAAAGTAAAAACCCAAGATGAATAAGTTGTTTCATGTTTGGTCATACCCAACAGGTTGATTTCTTTCTACAAGTAGGCTGGTCCAATGGAGCTTACTTTCTCATCTGATGCTGTTGCAAGGAACACCAAGCTTAGGAGTGATGTTCCTGCAAAGAAAGGGATCAACATAAGCTGTGACCAAGTGGATCTTATCCATTCTTTTCCACTGCCGTTTTTGTTGCACCCAAACTGTACTTCAAGTTTGAGAGTTTGACGACCAGCTGTGGGACATGTTTGGATCTTGGAAGGCATTCCCCAAAAACACAACCAGCTGCGGCGTCATCGTGAGTTTTGCCCATTGACCCTACAAGGCCCTACCCATCATGGAGAGTCCCATTCGCCTCCTCAGCCGCTGCTTCCGGCCTGGCCGGCTTGGATCCATTGTACATGAAGCACCTAGGGCCCCACAGTGGATAACATCAGGTACTATGATGAAAGCATAATATGAACACTGCTTTTCTTTGGTTTGAGATGTGTTTTCGTCGCCTTTGATGTTCAACTTCAAAGCGGCTCAAAACATTGAAGGGCGACTAGAGAAAAAAAATCAACACGAGGAGGTATCTCCATCTCGCAGTCATGCACTGGAACGTCCATCGGCCACAACCCCACCACCTAATTTTACAAGTAATTCATTTCTACCTCTCTGACAAATCTACTGCTGACAATAAAACAAACATCCACAGATCCTTCTTTCATATCCTTTTCAAATACGCCCACGATTGTAGATGTGGACACTGGAAAGCGCTCTCGAGCGGCCCAGAACCTCCTCCATGTCTAAGATTGTAGTTCACAGTAGAACGCTTCAAGACTTTGACCAAACCATACATGACCAAAGCCTTAGGCCTGCAAAACATCAGACTTGATTCCCGACTAAGCTCACAACAAGCTGTGGTTTAAACATATATAAACATCTCAACCCAGTCTCACCCCCAGCAAGAAAACAACAGGGTATAAGTAAAAGCATGTGCCAATCGAACTCATCGAAACAGCTCTAGGTGTATATTAAAAAAATATTACTATATAGATTATATAGACAAAGAGAGGCCCACAAACCTTTCTTTGCTTTCAAGGGCCAGCAGCTGCCATCTCTCGTCACAGGCACTGCCAGTCGGCCTCTGTCGGTCCTCGGGGAGCCACTGGTGCTCCGTCTCTCCCTCAAGCTCGGGTTCCTGCTTGGCGATGGCGTGGCCCGACGAACATCATGGTGCTGTCTGGGTCGTCTGGAGGATTTTTGGAGTCTCCAAGAACAAAACGAGCGCCCTGTGGCTCTTGAGGGAAGCTCCCATTTTCCCATTTTCCAGAGAAACCTGTCTGTTTCTCCCAAGGAAGTTCCAAGACTATGGTGGCAGTAGAGGCCTTTGAAGATAGATTTTCTCAGTGGATTGATTTGGGAGAAAACCACCCAAATGATGGGCGTCGGCTAAGACAACCTGCATTTGCAAATGCAGGTCAGCTTGACTGGAAACAAAGGAAGAAAAGCGAAAGATTTGAATTGACATGTTAGGGATTGTTAGGGTCTCTTAGGGTTAGGTCCATCCTTTCTGTGCTGCTCACAAACTCGCCACGCAGCACGTTTGCCCCTTTTCCCCAGTGCAAGCGCGCTCTGGTTGGCGTCCAATGCTTTGAGCTCTCAAGGAAAGCTCAGCTTGCGGCCCTCGCCCATCATGCCACACTTTCCCTTACCAATCTTTTTCTGCAACTCGACATCTCTCTTTTTGAAGAGGGACCACGACATCTCGGCCCAAGCGCAAAAGTCCAGCTCCTCGGTCACGATCGCATATGTGCCTTTGTTGACATTCAGAGTATCCAGCTCCTGCGAAATGGATGCCGCTTTTTAACACAAAACCGCATTATATAAATCCGCATCCTGCTGCTTCATCCCCAGCAATCCACTTGATCAGTGGAACAATTGGACTGAAGAGAATCCGTGGTCCCATGAAGAGAATGCGTCCTTGTCAATGCCCTCGAAAAGGCCAGCTGGAACGTGATAAGCAGCTTCATAGTCTTCGTTTTCATACAAACCTGCGGTGCAAGTAAGGCTCTTTGTGGGGCTCCCCATGTGGTCAAGGCTGGAAGAACAACGATCCTTCTCGCCGCTTTCAGAACTTTTGGCGGGTTCATTCATGGGCTCATCAGGAGACGACCGGTTGCCTTCCCGTCCACCATGTGTCGGTCGGAAACGCTATGTGGTGGACAGGCTTCAGGATACTCCAAGTTTTGATCCATCGACTCACGAGAAGAACACGTGCACTATTGAGGACGAGAAGAAGTGCCCCCTAATGTATCTTAATGTAGACTATTGATCATTGATGATATTTCAAGCCCCATATGAAGATGGCAATCCAAACAGAAGCATGAAACCAAGTCTTGGCCTCATCGAAAGCATATCATTGTGTCTTAGAAGAAACCAGTGGGTGGACACCGGCGCCAGGCGCCACCATGGAGTCGGAAGTGTGTTAAAAACCCACCCGTTTTGGGGTTCCCCCAACAAAACCCTGAAGAGGAGATGAGCTCCTACAGGGCCATCATTCATCGTTCATCTGATTCATGGTTCACGCCTCAAGAACTGATTCATCGGACGAGAATCTGGGCAAACTTGTTCCGTGTCCCCCATCAATGAATTTGGTTCTTGATCCTCCTCTCATCTTCCATAAAGAAGTGAAACAAAGACTCGGAGTCCCATCTGACACCACCTGCGTATACCATATACCTGCTTGCCAAGTCGCTGGTCTTTGAACCAATCTTCGCAGACATTCCGAAGTCAGCCAAGACGAGGCCAATGGGACAGCCATCATTGTCGAGATCTTCAAAGAGAACATTGTCTTCCTTGAGGTCGTTGTGCAAGTACTTTCCTCCCAAAATGTGTCGATCCCTTGCGGAAATCTTGCTCACCACAGCAGAAGTCAAATGACTTCTTACATAACTGGCTCTTATGGCCATCATATAGGTAAGGCCTGTTCTCATTCCCGTTCTCACAAGAGTTCAAAACAGCTCACATATGATGATATGGTTGAACATCTTTGCAACAAGGATCATGATCATGGACGACCTCTTCCCACCAAGTCCCTTCATTTCACCGCAACTGGCGCGTCCAGCAGTGGTTCGCACGTGCCCCAAAACGGGGTCACACGTGCCCTGCGCTCTTGACAGGGTCACGTGCCATGTCAGGGTAGATCGTGGCATATGGAGAGCTGGCAAACTGAGCGGAGGAACTGTATGCAGCTGGCCGAAGCTATTGAGGAGCTGCATAAAATGACAGATAAACAAAACATGTGATCTCCATAGAAATCCACAAGGAACAACATTGACCCCCCGCTTCACCCACCACCCGCCCACCCACCCAACCACCCAATGCAATCATATGCAAACCATTGGCCTTGCAAACATGATCATTCACTGTTGTGAAACATGACATGCTTCTCAGTGCTTCTCCCACGAAAGCTGCTGCCCTTACGTCTCCTGTTGCAGGCCCTGTACCGCCACCCCCAAACAAGATGGACAAACTCACACAACTCAAAACCCTGTGTGATGCACAGTGCCCCCATGTGCCCCCAGTCTCCTGCATGCATACACTCCAAACCATCCATGATGGCATCCCGGATGATCTCGAAACACTTCTTGCGGGCGGTCAACGTCTTTGCCTCTTTCGCCTTCCACTTTTCCAAGTCCCAGGGCAACAGCTTCGTGACAAAGGCATTCTTCTCGATCTTCCCATCCACACACCTTGAATGTGGCATCTGGTGGAACACAGAAAGGCAAATCAAGGGACTTGGGTATTCCCACTTTGAGAAGTCATGAGAATCAGGATCGAATGTGCCAACAAATGCCCTTGCCCAAAAGGATTGCTCAAAGCCTTCCTCGATGATCTTCCCCCCAAGAAAAATACTATCAGCATTCCCGCATTGCTGTTCCCCCAACTCAGGCGTCCAAAACCCTCCCCAATCGGCTGGGGCACGGCTTGGCTTTGATCATCGGCAGGACGTGCTCGCATCCATCTGACGCCTTCATCACCTTCATCCTGAGAGCTGGGAGGAAGCACCCCAACCGCCACGGAAGCGGTAGAAAGCGGTACGTAGCAGAAACAACACCGGTACCGCGCGCGACACCGAGGCGTGGTTCGGGAGTGAGCGAGAGCCACACAATCTTCTTCAACATTGGTGAACGTCTGGACTAAGACAGCCAAACCAATAATTGGCATCCCTACTAGCAACCCTATCATTACTTTTCTGTGCATGGGGAGCCCATCCACTGCATAACACTCCCCACATACTAACAGCAAGTACTCACTTGAGGACAGTGGGGACGAAAGCGAGGGGTGTGGAAGGATCAAGGGGACGCGGAGGGAGGGCAGCAACGCAACGCTTTTGTGCCACGAGCGCAAAGTGTTGTTGGCTGAGTCAATCGAACACTTAAAAAAAACAAACTCGACTTTCATATTGTCTTTTCTAGGCATTTGGTATGCTTTCTCACAAGCACGAGGGAGGAGTCGAATAGATTCTTTCAGTTCACTTTACAGGGGGGGGCCGCCCCCCCCTTAGACGTTTCAATCTGCAATTGAAATATCAATTCCTTTGCGAGGGGGGGGGGTGGTTATTGAAAGAATCAATAAAAAGGGAGGGCCCCCCCCCCTCGGCTGACCCTCCCTTTAATTGAAAGAATCAATTAGTTTACTGAACCTTTCAATTTTGAGCCTCACCATATTTCGTAAACAACAACTTCCGCTGAGCTCCTTCTGAGCTCGCTTTCGTGATTGGATTCGCGTGGATTAGCGCCATCAAACGAGATGAGTCCAGTGAGAAGACCAAGCGCCATGATGGTGCCTCAATGTGAGGCACCTCTCTGACCTCGAGAACTGTGTTCTTCTGCCCTTCCCTGAAGTGATAAAGTCAGCAAACACGCTTGGTCGGATCAACCTCAGCCACCGGCAGGCAGCCGCAAAGGCCATCTGCTCTTGGCAACTCTAGGGTCTCCTTCACAGTGGCCACTCCCATCCGCTCCATCACCGCCATCTCCAGATCCTCTCAGCTCATAATACAACCAAAGTTGCCTTGGGCACATTGTTGACATCTCGCGCAACGGGCAAGCATGTGGATCTCCCCAGCTTCCCTTTTCGAGTGGACTGATGGCATAACTGGCTTTCCTCGGCCTCGATCTTCACTGAACGCAAGAGAGCACGAGCCGTGGGATCAGTTACTGGCACCATGATGGCACCATGCAACCTTTTTGAAAACAAAGGTCTGCTCTGCGAAAGAACATCCAGAACATCACGGCATGACAAGCAAACATCGCAGTGGTGTTCTACTTCGCTAGCTCCATTTTCAGAATCTCAGAGATTGAAGAAACTTTCTTACATTCATACTCGTGCTTCGTAGAAACAACCAGCTGTCTGCCATGGCTGCCATGGCCATTGAAAACATGCTTGCTCCGCGCATGTTTCAATCGTATCGACTTGTTGTCGCCAGGAAAAAGGCAGCGTTTTGCAGCTGGAAAAAAGCCGCAAATGCATCTCCAACATCGAACAAAACAAAGGGAATGCGGAGAGACAAGAACCAAAGAAATGTGGATTTCCCGAAGATCCGTGGCAAGCTGCTCCAAAGACCCCTGTTCTTTTCACCAGGTGAGGATAATTGCCCATGTATGGTCATTCGTCGTGGCTAGGTTTGCACGGTTAGGGCCCCCCTTCAACTAATCACCACTCGTGTGCCATGGGCAGTGGTGTTTTACGGGAGGAACGGTTCAAGCGTTAAGAATTCATGAAAAATACATAAATCTTGGGTCTATCCTATTACCTGTAACAGTGGATGATGGTTAGTAAAGGCCTTGTACAAAAATGATGATAATTGTTTACTGGCCTTATTAAAGGCTCTTTAATGACTGACTGTTTAGGACAGACCCTACAAAAATCCTCATAAATCCCAGGTTTGGTTTTGTCGAAGTTCAAAACTCTGGCTTCAACCACCAGGTCTCCACCTGCCACCGACGTACCGGATGGACCTTCCACCACCTCACCTGGACCTGATGTTGCCGCCAGAAGCGTTTGGCGTGGCCCGGACTGATCAACCGAAACCCAAACCCCGAGGCGTTTGGCTCATCTCCCATCGTCCCAACCTTTGGTCCGGTGACCGGCTTGCCCGCGCGCAGCTTGGCGCCAAGCGTCTCATGCAAGTTCTCTTTGATTCCCAATGGCTTTGGAATCTTCATGGCAAACTTCTCGTCATCTTTAGTCACCTCCACCACCTTGCCATACACACCTGGAAAAGAAAGGCATGAACAGAAAAGGCCAAATTCTGCACATCGTCTCTGATTTGTTCTAACAGGAATCAGAAGCCTATGATGTGCCTGAATCAAACGGACACATCGAAACACCGGTTTCAACCGCTCCGCTCGACTGACCAGTTCGAGTTCTTTGAGTTAACGAATGGAAGAGCTCTTTGGTATTAAAGCAGGACTGACTGCGATCCGTGTTGGGACATGTTGGCACCTGGACCTGGCCACTGCATGCTACACGCAAGGAGCTGACTAGAACAGGACTCACAGGACTCACAAGACTGCAAACGTCTGACTTAAGATCTCAGATCCATCGATCTAGCTCCTAAACCTTGAAGCATAAGTACTGGCATACTGCCATTGATCGCTCCCCCAACTTTCCAAGTTTGTATCTCCCCGGCCTTCCCCAAGCGGCTTTCGGCTGGTCTTGGAATATCCATTTCTGCAGCCCTCCTTCAAATCTCGTCTCGGCGCCACGAACCCCAGCCACCAAACGTTCAGATCATTCTCTCGTTGATGTTCAGGGGTCAACTAGCCACCTTCCTTTTTGGGGAAGACATGGCAAAACCCTGTTGATGCTGTCTTCATCAATGGCTTGAAGATTGTATAATCAGTTCAGTGGAAGCCTTCATCCGGTGACCCTCGAACCTCTTCCCTCGATGGAGTGGCAGATTTGCACTCTTCAGAATCGAAATCCTGCATGATGATTCTTGTCTATATCATTCCGGCTATAGAGGTCCCGCAAATTCATGGAAGTGGTGTCCACATGTGTCCACATTTGTTGCAAAGGGGCTTCACTTTATATCCATTTCGGGGACCAACATGTTTGGCGCAGCTTCGCAGTGTCGGATCCAGGTGTCCTCTTCATCTTCCAAGAAAGCGCTTGGCTCCTCCCTGAAGTCGTGAATACGTCGAGGCCTCACAGGGACACCCCAATCTTCGTCACCGATGTCCGCGTTGAGTTGCTCGTCCTGGACCGGGTTGTGACAAAGTGTAGTCATAGATTAATAGAGCAATCCAATCATCAAAGAGATTCTATGCTGCCAAATGACTAACTGGCTCTGTTCTACCAGAGACTCTGCTCTACCAAAGGCAAGACTTTGGGGACAGCGTGAACGGAATTTGTCCGGTCTGTGGATGGTTTCTGCTTGAACAATCCTGATGAATAGCCACCAATGAATTCTAAGACTAGTCCAGGGAGAACTAGAACAATCAAACATGGAGAGAAGCAGCCTTTCAAGGATTCATTCAAACATGGTCGCTCCTCCTCCCTTTGGCGAAGGCCCACTGCTAGGCCCACCAACAGCACCGAAATTGCACCGAGAAAAGCGCGTTCCGAGTGACGCACCATTTCCTGCGATTTCACGCACAACGCTGGGAAGTTGGAGACGAATGTCCCCGCTTTGAATGCAAACAGCTGCAAGAAACGCAGGTGCCAGCGCCCTGGTGTTCCGGCACCTTCAAATATCGATATCCCAATAAACATTTTAGACCGCCATCAGAGCCAAATGATTGGCACCTCCTGTGGACCCCCCCATTGATCATTTAATACAATCATATACAACGTACTATAATGTAATATATATATATATATATATCTCTTGATAATATAATATACTATACAATCACATAATACTATATACGTACATATACAATCATATAATAAAAGACATCTGTTATGTACTTCGTGCCATACTTAGTGCCCATCTCAGACCGATTTCTGCATCCTCCGGGTCGCACCCCGGTCGCCCACCGGAACCGCCATGCTCAGCCTCCAACCAGTCGGGCTCCGCCGGCTCCTCTGGTGGAAAAGCGCCTACGGCCGGCCACCGAAAGGGTACGACGATCCAAGAATTTAGATGAATTTAGTAAAACAACCAAACACTTTGGGTCCCCACATCGTGGTTTTATTGTGTTGTTTTTCTCAAATATATTGTTTGTTTTATTATTGTGTTCTTTATTGTTCTTTCTTTGGAGCCCAAAGCAACCAAAGCCATTCAGGGTGATTCAATGTGATTCATGGTCATTCAAGTTCAGTCACTAAGTGGTTACCATTCAATTCATCTCCATGAATGATTTGTTTGACTGTTTGACTCAGCCTATGGATGCTAAGCTTGATGAGCACGAGCAACCTCTCTTTTTAATGGCAATGAGGGATGTGTCCAAGAAATATTTTTTCTGCCTTCAACACAATGACAAATCATATATCTGATATTATCTGAGTCCTGACAGAGTGAGGCTGGCGTTCTGTGACAAACAATCACGGAAGCACAAGTTCATTTTCATATTTGTTGAACACATTGACAGGTCAAAATGGAACAAAAGCCAGGCTTCAAGTTTGAACTAAGGATTTGTGCCAGCTTGCCAACCAAATGCACATGGACCAATCTTTATGCTGCAGTAGGGGTTGGTCAACCCGCCCTCAGTTGAAAAAGCTGTCTCAAATGACTCTGGGTCAAAACGTAAGGAACCAAACCCCAATGCTTTGCTTGGCTCAAATCGTTTTACTATGTTAACCAATTACCAATGTGTGTGTAACCCTTGTAGTCACAGGGATTCTTTTGAGTTGTTTTAGTCTGCAGGGGGACACAGCATTTCACTGGGACTGTGTCCAACGAAGCTACCAGTGAAATGGGATATCCAGCTTGGCCAGCTGGACGTACCTGCAATTTTCCAATTTTCCGAATGGCATGAGGCTAAGCCCAGAACCTCCTGACATGTTTCCTAAGTAGCCGCCGACTTGCACGCCACGACGTCATCTTGTCGGTTCGTCGCTCGTCTTCTTCCTTTGGGCCCTACTTCCTCTTGAAGGCCTCCAGGATCCAGTGGTACGTACGTGCACCCTTAGGAACTGGAACCCTAGGCCGGCGTGTGGCACCGCTTTCCGTTCCGTATGCATATCCATGAGTGTGTTTGGCCTCGTGCCAACCCGGGATGAGCCCGCAGAGTGCCTCCCGTGGACCCGTTGAACGGGGGTTTGTCGAACGCAGATGTCCGCAGCGGACAGCAGGTGGCTTAGGCCGAACGTACGATGATTTTTGTCTCATCTTTGGAATTCCAAGTTGGCTCATGCCTTTACGTGACCGAAGCGGTCAGAGGTGGCCGCCCTTGGGCATGCCGTACGTGGTCGCAGCGACCGAAGTTTGTTCAAGGTTCATTGAAACCTGTCCCATTCTTAGGCGCACACACAACGTATACATGCAAACAAGGCGAGGTCTTCCTAGGTGTTTCTAATGAGGTTCGGCTTCATCGGTTCTCGTCCCCTCCATTTGGTTCCCCTTTTCATCCTTTCCCCTTTTACACACCTTTTGATTCCTCTTTTCTTTCATGTCCTCCTGTCTTCATGTCTGGTCATCTCATCCTTTTCTTCGTTTGCGTGCACATTGGTCCCGGCCTTAGTGTGTACGTGCACTTTTACATACCTTTAAACACAGGTTTCAGGTCGCCCAGGTCTTTACAATGAGGTGGGCTTCATCGGGTGTCCCTGTGCACTTGGTTCCCCTTTCATTTCAACCACACGCACCTTTGTCCCGTCTCGTCCTCCTGTCATGTCTTCATTCTTTTGTCTTGTGCGCACACACGTGCACATTGGCCCTCACCTTAGCTTTACGCCTCCCCTCGGGGAGGCGTGTGTGTGTAACCCTTGTAGTCACAGGGATTCTTTTGAATTGTTTTAGTCTGCAGGGGGACACAGCATTTCACTGGGACTGTGTCCAACGAAGCTACCAGTGAAATGGGATATCCAGCTTGGCCAGCTGGACGTACCTGCAATTTTCCAATTTTCCGAATGGCGTGAGGCTAAGCCCAGAACCTCCTGACATGTTTCCTAAGTAGCCGCAGACTTGCACGCCACGACGTCATCTTGTCGGTTCGTCGCTCGTCTTCTTCCTTTGGGCCCTACTACTTCCTCTTGAAGGCCTCCAGGATCCAGTGGTACGTACGTGTACCCTTAGGAACTGGAACCCTAGGCCGGCGTGTGGCACCGCTTTCCGTTCCGTATGCATATCCATGAGTGTGTGCAGCCGTTGCACTTCCAGTCAAATCGAGCACAAAAAGAACCTGACCAACGCACGCCACAAAGGCCACGCTGGGGCCTGGACACTCCGTTCACCGGGACTTTCACAGGCAGCTAAGGGCGATACCAATTGGGTGGTGGATTTGGGTGGAGAAACACAAGAAACACGTCTCCTCCTGCCGTCTTTATCGCCGCATCCGATGAACCAAAAACAACCCTTCCACCGGTCACACCGGATCGATGTCTCCCACGAGTACTCCGAGTCACACCTGGATCTGTGGGCACTCGAGGCCATCTCTGAGTCCATCCGTGCGTCATCTGCTTCCAGCAGAAAAGGCCTCTCTTTCCGACAGAGGCACGTGGCGCTATAGGCTTGAGGCGACACAAAAAACATTTCGAAGCGGCTTATACATCGAAATCGAATGAAACACCAACCGCGGGGTGGAGGAGGTTCTAGGGTTAGACAGGTCTAGTCAGGGCCTACTCAGGGCAAAAAGCAGTCCAAAGGAGCTAGTCCAATGTCCGCTTTTCTGTGACTAACGTGGAGCATTGTGGAGTCATTTACTTGGCTTTCAGTTAAGTCTCTTGACCCCCCGTCGCGGCGCTGGCTAAAAAGAAAGGACCTTTTGAGCCTACTTCGTCCTAGTTCGCCGCCCAAGAAGATCGCATCATATGCCTACTGGCTGCAGCTCCCACAAGCCCGCTGTTGCGAAACGCAGTTCAGCTCACCCGCCATTGGATATGGCCGATCCAACCTAAAGTTCCCATGAATGCAAAGACTTTGAGGGGCAGTTGACCAGGCCTCTCGGAGGAAAAGTGCTCCACCCGAATCATTTGCCAGACTTCTCGTAGCACAGAATCCTTTCTTAGAGGCCCTCGTGCCTCCCGGCCTGTTCACATGCTCCAATGGTCCCGAAATGTTTCAAGTCCAGAAGGAGTGGTTGAAGTATTTTCCCAAAAGTGACTGACGTGCTTCGTAGGACATTTGGTATCATTTGGTCCTAAGGACTCGATTTCAGGGAGATCCTTCCCTCTGCTTTCATCCGCACCAGTCAGGCGGCATCGCTACTAGTAAAAAGAAGCTACTAGTAGCTCCTGGCATTACTAATTACTAGGAGCAAGAAGCTACTAGTTACTAGTAGCTCTTCCCATTCGCTGCCTGACGATTCCCGGCCTTCCGAACTCGGCACCACCTGAGCGAATGCACCGTTGTGCGGCCTTAGAGTTCCGTCACCGGCACGGCCGTGAAGCCATGTGGCGAAACCGGGCTCTGGATCAAGCAACAACTTTAGAATTTAGAAGTCTTTCTTGTTACTCGTAGCAAGAATGCTCCGTTCGTAGCGATGCCCTTTGCTCCTAGTAGCTTCTTGTTCCTAGTAGTGATGCCCTTGTTACTAGTAGCAAGAATGCTCCTAGTAGTATGGCCAGGAGCCCCTAGTAGCTTCTTGTACGGATTTGTAAAACCCCTTTTGTTTTTGGGGCGTTGCTTGATCAAAGCTCTAGAAGAACGAGGGAAGCAGCGAAAACATGGTGGGTTGTCTCATACGGGAATTGGTGGCTTTTGTCGCACTGCGGTGTAGAAGATCGTACTACGCACCGTCCATTATGACAAAAAGGACGAGAAAGTCAGTGAACTCTTTTCCAAGCTATTGGTTCATTTGCAATTCATTCCTGCATTCCAGGAGCACAAACACACACACACACACACACACTCCGGTCCCAACTCCGGACCAACTAAGTTCTGCAAAACCAAAAAGAGAGTCCACTTGACTTGAGCACGCCAGTTCCAAACCCCTCGCGCGCTGCCTCATGGCCCCATGCCCCCGTCTGCAGTGCCCCGTCCGCAGCTCCAGGTTCTCACCCGTTTTGGCCCAACGCGAGCGCTCACGGGGCCGGGTGCCCCGAGGTCTGAGGAGCTGCTCCAGCCGAGTAGATGGCCAAGCCCCCGATGGCTCCAACGGCTTCAATGACGAAGATGATCAAGAGCTGGCCAAGGCAAATGATGGGAACATCATGGAACATGGATCACATACGAAACTGACAAAGAACTGTGTCTTGGACTTTGGTGAATCTGGTGTCTTCGTTTCTGTTCATACTTGGAGGGCCTCGCTCGAAGACCAGGTTCGATGGCATCTCAGGACACCTGTGGCACAAGGGGGTCTCCGAACGGATACCGTGGCGGCAAGACCAAGGCCTTGTACATAAAGATCCCCTCAATCCTTTGGGACATTTTGGGAATATCTTCGAACTCATGGGAGATTATCCCTGCCATCTTGAGAGGGGCACATGGGCACTGTTGCGGATGACAAGCGGAAATGCTTGTTCTGCACATGCAGGTGCTTTTGATTCCTTCTATTTGCACTGGATGGACTGGAAACCATCGTTCGTGTACTAGAAGGCCTTTGTTTTTACCTTCAAGCAGCCTTCGGTCGAGCCGGTAGCCTTCGGTACGAACGAAGGCCATGCAAAAGTATATATGCCCTACAGGTTGGAGCCCAAACACCAGCTTTGTGAGAAGATCCAATCATCTAATATCATCTAATCACTTCTTTCCAAATGGGTCGGTCTGTTCGATACTTGCTTTGAAGGGGCCTGCTGCAACCAGGTTTCTGAGCAGCAGCATAGTACACACAGCAACAGCATCGCCACCTTCTCAAGTAGACTTGCCTCCAACAACACAAATCCCTTTGATCTGAGTTGACCAGAATGCCTCTTCGCCAGACAAGCGGGCAGCCATGGGGCGGCATAGCATCTTCTCCTCAACGACTGAGTAAAGGAAATGGGTGGCTTTGCGATCTGATCTTTACATTTTCCAATTCCGGCTATTTGGCTTGTCGAAATTTTACGGGTGGCTACACGAATAAGAAGGGTTGGGTAGAGCACGAATAGAGAAGCGAGTCTTTTGACGGTTGGACATACAAGTGCACCAGTTGATCAACAATAGATTGATCTCAATGGCTGCACATCTATATTATCTATATAGCTTGTATAGTTTCCAGCGTTGCTTTTTTTCAAAATCTTACGATTCGAACCACCATTGATGTATATAAGAGCCTTTACCGAACAACCATGTTTTACTAAGGATTTTAGACTACAAAATACCAGGTCAACATAGGTCAACCATGTTTTTTAAGTGGTAATTGAATCTAGGGGGATCCCTTTGGGCTTGGTCTTGGTCGTTTTCGGCTCCACTTCAGCCAGATGCCCAAGGTCTTCCACCCATGGTCAACCTCACCTGCACAATTTGTCAACATTCCACTCTCAAAGCTGCAAATCTACGGCTACAAAAAAACGCCGCACCAGCCATTAGGGGCAACACCTGGCACCCCACAGCAACACCGAGGGCAACACCTGCACTCGAGGACCGCGAGGACCGCGCTTCTCCTCTTTGGACACCAAGGCCTTGAAGTCCTTCAACAGGGCTTGCCTTGGGGACCGAGCTGGGACCGGGACCGAGCCGTCCAGCGGAAAAGACCCACCGGATGCCAAGCACCGAGCCCGTCTTGACCGGGGTCAACAGAGTCAACTGGGTCAGGTGAAGTCCCCTGCTTCCAAGCTGAGTAGGACCTCGGATCCACTGAACCTCTGATCCACTGAAGATGATCCGTGTCGCCTTCGGACCGATGGTCCAGTCGCATCGAGGGGGTCTTGGCACAATCCAGGGTGCCACAACCCCCAAGCCCTATCTCAAAATATCCCAAAGGAGGAAACCAATTGGAACACATGAAAAAATACATCAAAATCCCATCAACTTCAATGTCAAGAGGGGACACGTCCACTTGTTGGGTCCTGTTCAAGGACTCACCTGCTCTGCAGGGTGCCGTTGACATCCGTTGACTGGTCGTTGTCGGAATTTCCTCCCCCGGTTCTGAATCTGGCTCGTGTGCAGCTCACCCTGAAAGTCAGTTTGACCGTTGGTCATGACTCAGCTTGGTCGGGTAAGAAATGCATCCAGATACAGCATAAGATGCCAAGGATTGTTCAAGGAATTGTCTAAGAAAGTTCGTGGGATGAACTTATGGTCAATTCCTTGCCAATCCATATAAGTTCTGGGTCAAGGAATTGTCTAAGATGCCCAAGAGCGGTTTCCAAGAATCCCAGAAAGATGGTACAGGTTGTTTCTCGAATCCGAAAGTCACCACTCTTCCAACTGAAGACCGTGGACCGCAGGACCAAGCGGCTGTTGCTTCATCAGGCTAATGCCCTTCATCTGCAGCTGAGCAAACGCCGAACTGGCCGATGCGGGGCGGATGCTGGCCGGTTAAGGCATGGCAGGCAACGGTGACCCACGAATTCCCGTGTTTCCATGTGCCTTTTGCTGCAGCCCAGTTTGGAACATCTTCGAACTGCTATATAGGAACCTATTTGGCACCACACTGCTATAGTACTTTGAAGCTATTTGGCACCACTAGCTGGTACCCTTTCAAGAAGCCCCTTTTCACCTAATGCAACCACAACCAGTGACCTCTGAACCCGATGGGCCGTACGGTCGCGCCAAACCCTTCAGGACGACCGATCGACGGTCGCACGGTGCGCGCCGCGTCTCAGACCTCTGTGTGGGGGACTCGTTTGGAGACGTGCGTTGGGATGGTGTAGAGAACATGAGACATGAGAAACCATTTGTCATGGTGCATCCTGGATGGTAATTATCAGGTACTAGACTATATACACCCACCTGGATGATATCAGGTTGGATGAAGGAGTTCTAATGGAGTTCTCAGTCTTTGAAAGGGAGCTTGATTGCGGATCATGGGATCTAGAGCCACAATGAGCCACAAAAGGACATCCCCGACCAGGTTGCACGGTTGCATGGTTGCGATCACATCGTTGCTCATGAAAGACATTCCAGGATGGGAGCTGTCTCAACAATCAGAGCAAACTTTTCATGGCGATTCAAAGCCCTTTCGAGCACCAAAGAGAAGTGACAAAGTCCTGTTCATGGGATGTTCCATGAGAGGTGCTTTCCAATATCGGTGTCCTCAGATTAAAAGACCACGGTCAAAGCGCACAGATCAAACCTTAAACATCAAACATCTCTTCGCGTACAACAAATCAACATAGTTCTTAAAGTCTTAATGTTCTTTTGTTGGACCTTGGTAGTGAACTGCTTCCTAGTGCATCTCCTCCAAACACTGAGTTGGTCTAAAACCACAAGGAGGAGGGTTCTCCACGAGAATGTTTTTTTCTCTCACTGGAATCCGACGGCCAGGATGACAACGCTCATCCAAAGGCTTTGCATGGGGGCGAAGCTCCGATCTGCACGGAGCTGCTCATCAAGTGGCTCATCAGTCACCTGCAGCTTGAGCTGCAGGGAATATGGAAACCGCCGCCTGAACTATCTAAATCCTGCATGATATGGAAGAACCTTCGGTCCATGGAAGTGTCTGCATATCTGGGGGTTGTTCAACATACCTTTTCCCGAAAACTATCCTTGCGCCGGCCTTGGGCGAATCTTGCGCGGATCTTGCGCGAACACAGTAAAACTACATGTTCTATTCAAATAAGTTTTTCGTTTACCTGTTTTCGTGGGTGTGTATGTGTATGTAAACCGCTGCCACAGGCGGAGAGTTTACAAACCACAGGGCAGGGGGCTAGCGACCCATTTCTCGACCTTCCCCGTGTGTGTGTTTGTTTGCTGCACTGCAGCTTCCTTTTTTTCAAACACTATGCCGAAACAGCTGGCTCAAAGAAGTCGACATGGCCAGTTCAGTTCTACATACATTCGGGCGTGCGCGGATCTTGCGCGAACCTTGCGTGGATTTCGATCCTGTTTTGGCCACATTCCGAAGCATATGGCTAAAACATTATGAAGCAGTTATGGCCTTGCGCCGGCCTTGCGCGAACCTTGCTCGATGCAGGTTTTAGCCTATACCTACTATCAATAAAAAGAATCGTGCTACTAAATTCTGTTATGTGGGTTTTAGATGGTTTTAGAACTTAGAACGACTCCCATCTGAATCTACATCTCTTTCTTCCAAGCGCCCCTTTGCAGATCCCTTGTGACTGGAAGTGATTTTTGCATGCCCCACACCACCAGAACTGTTTGGCAGTTTGTACTGACCTGGAACATAGGAATCTGTTTCCTGTCGCAACCCAGATCTCCAATGAACTAGCAACCAACGTGTGTCACCATGTTGGTATCACTCTGTCTCTCTGTCTCTCTCCCTCTCTCTCTGCCTCTGCAGCTGACATCATCTCCTCCGTTTGGGGTCCCACTCGTGGCACTTGCAGCAAGCTCCATCGGTTTCTCGCGGCACTGTGGCGTTCTTCTTCGATGGCTCGAAGTTGACAAAGGCGCTCCTCTTCGGGCATATCACCTCCAGGGTTTTGCCATCCGTCCATTTCGACTCATCATGATTCATATAGATTAACTTCGTGAAGACACCGAAGTCTCTTGCCCAAGAAGCCCATTTATGGTGTTGTTCAATGGAAGCAGGGTTAGAATGATGAAATCCTGAAATCCATGTTCTTGATGGGTTGGGCCCAGGTGATAGACATAATGAAACTATTTGACAAATCAAACACACGCAAGGCCAGGTCACCCTTGCTGTCTTGGAGAACGGCATACTTCATGTTCTTGGCAAACCTGAGCTTGGAACGCTCGACTGGCGGAGGGCGACACACCGAGCACCATGCGTGCTGCCAGCAACGCAGTGGAAACGAAAGCCCGGCAAGCGAGAACAGCCATGCAACGCGAAGGAAGCGCACAACATAGAGACATGTGACATGTGACATATAGATTCAAAACGACCTATCAACATGGAGATCTTGGGAAACACATACCCCAAAACATTCCCAAACCCTCCGACCCAAGCCTCCGTTCCTCCACTCAGTCTGAACCTCTAAATATCCTCTAGCTCCACTCACCGACTTCGTGTCTCCAGCACCCGTTTTGTTCCAGCACACACCGGTGGACACCGGCTCGGCTCCGGTCTGATCTCCGAGGAGCTCATGCATGAAGCGTGACATCAAGCTTCCACTCCTCGAGGACTTCGGAAGAAACGTCCCGGTGAAGTGAAGGAACGAGTTCGGAGAAACCGGTCCGTCCGAAGGATCTTCCGTGGCCACAGGACGGGTGGTGACATGGGCACAGTCTATGGGAAGATCTTGGAACACATGACGCCAACATAACTTGTTTTGAGAGGTTTGCTCTTGCCATCTTGGGAAGCATCATAATTAGTTCAACATTCTGCACTTCTGAGCTTTAGATTTCATGACAAGCACAATCTTGTCTCTCTGCAAGTGGCTGGAGACATGACATCTGGTATGAACAACATAACTCACCAATTCCTCTCAAGCCCACCTATAACATGTTACTACCACTCGCACATCGGTCCACGTCGACGTCGTGCCGGACACTCTGGTCCGAACACGGGAATTCCCCAGGTGAAAAGGATCATCATGCACCACCAATCATGTACAGGGATGGCCCATGTTTCAAGGCGCCGATCCGCACCTATTCCAAAAAGATGTGCTAGAAGAATGCGTGCCGATGGGAGCACGAAGGGGCACGCACCATCGATGCACCCCTGTGGAAGGATGCGGCCACATGCTCGAGGCTTTGTTGAATTGAATGAGCCAGGAAAGGGTTGCGCTTCCGAACTCATGCAAATACAACAGTGCTTCACGAAGAATCTTGTATATGTCTCGAAATGTGATCTGTTCCTGATCCCCTGAAACACGAAAACCCGCAGAATGAAATGCGACCGCCAGCTCACAGAATGAGTAGGATTCAGCAGGATGACTTAGCCACTGAAGTTGTTGGAGAAACGTTCGCACACTGATCCATGTTGCTGGCCCGTGTCTCCATGACTTCGGTGCCACCATCACATCTGGAATCTTTGGTTTCCATGAGAATTTTGTCACTGGCGTAGTCCAGTGCCACTGTGGGTACAGAGCCATGGCTTGTGCCTCTGACATTGTATCTGGAACTTCTTGTACGGCCGCTTCACTATCAATGTTGGTGTGCCCAGCATTTGCGGGCAGCAAGGAATGAAGCTGTACCAACCATTGTTGATGTCGGAATGTGGCATGCTTCGCCTGGCGGTAGATCTCCGGGCACACCGGAGCCAAACGGGATGCCAATCTCTTTGCAACACGGTCTGCAATCCTGTTCAATAAAATGTGTTGTACTGTTGTTCCACATGTAGCTGCTTGCGTCTCTGTCAGCAGATTGTCAGCAACTTCTTCAAGCTGATGAGCCGGAATCCACTGAACTTGAAAAGGCGTCGGGTGTACCTGCCGCCGCAACTGCACCAATTCACCAAACCTGGCCCACCATGGCTGACATAGCCATGTAGCCTGAGCACACCCAGTCAGCAGGAAGTCATGAACCTGTGTGACAGCTGATTGACAGTCTGAATACACAATCACCGGAGTAGTTGCCTGACAACAAGCGCGGAAAATAGCCCACAACTCGGTAACAAACGAACTTAAGGCCCAGTGATTCACCATGCCAGCAGAGACCATGCTTCCATCAGCTGCAATAATGGCAAATGTTCCTGTAGCCAACCAGAAGTTTTCGCCATGAATAACTGACCCATCTGTCCACAGCTGGGTGATTTCGCCGGCATGAAAGGATTCTGAAAACACCAGCTCGTCTGACTTTTGGTGCAGCAAGCGCTTGCGAGCAATGAAGAGCGGATGCTCCACATGGCCAAGCATCATAAAGTTTTCTCCGAGTTGATGTGCAACTGGCACTCCAATTTCACAGTGAAGGCTATCACACTCCGCTGTCAGATGCGGCATTGATTCCTTGGTTTGCTTGCAAAACCGGCACACGGAAGTTTCAGCCCATCCTGTGGCTGCCATGCGGTCATTCGTGAGAGAACATCCAACCACTACGGATTCAAAACGCACAGTGTTCGGAACACCAGCAGTAACATCGTGACTCTTAGCAAGAGAAAGACCGGACAGTTGGTGGTCAAAAACACCTTTCGGCTTAAGGAAGTCCTTACGTGGAGTGGTGGAGGCCTTAAGGTAGCATGCATGTCGGCATATTGCCTGAAGGGCCCTTCGAGCATCCTGCGGTGTGAGTTGTTCAAAACTGATAGGTTGGGACCCAAATACTGAAAGCTTTAATCCCTGATCAATCTCAATTCCAAGTGTGTCACAGGCCACACGAAGCCGGCTGGCAAGCGAGTGGGGCAAATTGTGCGGGCTTGAAAAGGTACGCAACAGCTTTGGAAGTAACTCACGCTGAAGAGAACAAGATCGCAAAGCTTCAATGATAACTTGATACGCACAAGCGAATGTAGGTTCAGTGCGATGTGGCTTGGAAAGGATGGCCTGTACCATCCATTTAGATCTCCATTTGGGCCGTCCGTACCACAAACAGCGCACAATTGCATTCTGTATTTGATCAAGTGCTTTCTTGGGGATACGGGAAATGTGAGCGCCATATGTCAATCGTGGGATGACCTTGGCTCCTATTAGGAAGGATTTGGTTGCCCGAGGAATTGGCAGGACCGCAATATTATCAATGTCAACCAAGGCCTGTCTGAGGGACTTGTCAGAAAACCCAAACGGAGAGTTGAAGGCAGTGTAAACTCTTGTGCCCAAAACTTCAAATTCTGTGGCTACAGGGAAGTCAGAGAAAGCAAGTTTAAGCTTTTGTCTACCACCTTTATTATTGCTCCAAAGGGCTGACTTATCGGGGTTCAACTTCTGCCCGAACAGTGCATCCCAGACACGCGTGACTTGAATAGCTGTCTGCAAGTGATGCAAATTAAGAATGCGGCACCACAGATATGCATCATCGATGTAGGCTCTCACGGATATTCCTGGTAAGTTTTCGATTAGGTGATACCAGACTTTGTTGTAGGCATTCATAGCGAGAATGGAAAAAGAACAGCCTTGTGCCACTCCATTGGGGTGGGTGGTAAACACAGGTGTTGTCCAATTCCTATATGCCATGTGCTTGCGTAAGCCCTGATAAAACCGCACGAAAATGCTGACCACATGTGCCGGGATGCCAAAAGCAATAAACAAACATGCAGCAAACTGTGGAATGATACGATCAAACGCCTTTGATTTATCAATCTTAATACCCACAACCGTCTCACGTTCAAGATTGGCCAAGTCCAGTTCAAGGCGCACTTCATTATAGAGGCTGGACATGGCACGGTGCTTGACACCACCGACAATTGCAGGAGGAAGTGCTTGCTGCTGCCATTGCTGCAATTGGGTCAAGCCGGTCAAGACGGGCATCGTCAGGACGAGAGCCGGAGGGTGGGGCCTTGAGAGGCCATGAATGCACAGCTTCTTCCTGCTTTGGCGATGACTTGGTCTTTCCTTTTGATTTCCCCTTGGCAACGGAGCGAACTGGAACATTCTGACCAATTTCTTGCCCGAGGATCTCAACGACATCTTTGTTGATCTCAAGAGTGAAGCGATTCGTCTTGGGATGTTCCTGAGCAGTGACAACCCAAGTGTGTACACCTGCAGCTCGGTATGTGCGCATGGGGATGACTGGAAGTCCAATGGCAGCAATGGTGGAGGCAACAACGTGAGCTGCATCAGTCGCAGCCGGCCAGCCAGACAGCTCGATGGACAGCTTTGGCACAATGTGCATGTTTTCAGGAACAAGGCGAGAGTCTCCTGCAAGAAGGCTTTCACGAGCAGCTTTGACCTGATCACACCAAACCCGAACAGCAAGTCCACGACGAGCAACCACAATCCCTGCAACTCCAGGGGTGCCTTGGATTGTGATACGGACTTTCTGAAGTTCTTGGGTCGAAATGGGCCAAAAACGGGGAAGGACGGTCGTATCACCAGCCTCTTTTCCCTTTTCCAGATAATCACGAATCAGCAAGCTTGTGGATCCGCTGGCTTCAAGCAGCTGCTTGCGTGCAACAAATGGTGCTTTAAGCACACATTGCAATTGCGCCTCTTGCTTGCTTGCACCTGGATGGTGTGACACTCGGTAGCCATACAGTGTGACTGTTGCTTGCATGGATGGCATGACCTCATGCAACATGGTCTTGAACATCATGATTGGGGACTCCTTCACTTTGTCGAAATCACTTTTGCTGACCAATCGTGAATCGAGTTCTAAAACCAACTCTGCGATCGCAGGTGTTGTCATCTTGTACTTGGCTTCCGGAAGTTGGAATCGAATTTTTCCAGCAAAAACGACCATGTGTACAAGTCGCTTGTAAGCAATCTTGGCAGTGGGATCGAACAGCGACACTTCATATGGTCCTTCAAGCTTGCTTGCAAGATGGGACAGCTCCATCGAATCAGTGGCCGGAATCAAGGCAACAAGCTCAGAAGTGATACCAAGCTTAGAGATTTCCTGCAAGTGAGCCTTGGTGGTAAGCACAACACCCCCTTTGCTTGGCCCGAGTTGCAATCGATGTGTTTGGCCAAGAGCATGACCTGTCTGGTTGACGAACGGCAAAGGAGCCTGCAGTGTTAAGTCCTCCCACTTGGATTGCTGAGGACGTGGGGGCCTCTTGGACCATGGATCATTGGCCAACCAAGGATCAGGGGCTGAAGGCGTTGTGGAGCCACTCCCTTTACCAGCAGTTTCCCCAGGCTTGATCTTGGGGGCATTGTCCGATGGAAGCATTTCTGCGTCACCAGCTCCAGCAGCTATGTAATGCACCGGGAAGCGATTCTCAATCACTCGAATGATGAACCAGCTACGCACATGTGTGGCAAACTCAACAAGTTCATCACAAGCCCCAGATTGCCTCCACACCAGGCCAGCTTCATTGCGGGTATCATCAATTTCCTCAAAGAACCGGGAAATCCCAATGGCACGAAGCTGGGCATCACCAAGAGGTCCGACCTGCAGCATAAGTCGATGGAACAGTTGACTCAGCAAGTGGAAACCACACATGTCAGGAGGAGCATCTTGATCCACATAATCGACTGTGAGCTCATTGAGGTCAGTCTCAGCTGCTGCAATAGCACACATCAGAAGCGGGTGGAGCCGCTGACGATCTGCTGGCGGCACTGTGAAGTAGACAGCAGTGTGGTCAGTGAGAGCATAGAGCTCAATCTGCACCCAATGGTTCCCTGTAGCGACAATCCAGACAATATGTCGATGAGCTCTCAGGTCCGGAATGATGTCATTGAGGTAATGCAACATCGCTTGTGCAGGTTGCCAGATAGCTGGCGCACAGAAAAGTGTGGCTGGGTGGTGAGGACGAAGGAAGTCAAGAGCAAAATCCATCTCATCTGAACCTGCCCAGCCTTGAAATCTGTGGAAATGCTCAAACCTCGCACGAATTGCCGCTTCTGCACGATTCTGTGGATTGGGATCGTCCGGCGTCACAGTGAGAACCACTTGATGTGGCACTGGAAAAGCAGTAACCAACTGAATTTGCTGACTTGGCTGACCTTGATGCTCATCGCGTGCGATATGCCACAAAAAGTTCCTCCTCAATCGCAGGGCAACAACTGCTACATCCTGATCCATATGTGCACTTCTCCAATCTTCAACTGAGCAATGCAGGCACATTTCAATGATGTCAGCGTAATGCTGTGGCAAGGGAAACTGTGTCGAAATGTCTGGAAGTTGATGTTGAAGATCCAGACGAGTGATCCACCGATACAACAGCATCCAGCCGCAAAGATGTTGTGGTGCCTGTGGCTGGTCAGTCAGCACCTCAAGCCTATGCGGTGCAATGTCCAGGATTCTGGCAACAATAAATGTCAAAGCCGCCTGCTGTTCAGGGGGAACTTGTAGAAATGTAAGCCGTGTCACATCTTCTTGGCGAAGGACCTCTACAGCAATCCAGTGGTTGCCCATGAGAATGGGCAGGATCGTAGCACAATTGTTGGCAATATTGATCTCTTCTCGCACATCATCAAAGTCTGAGGCGTTGGGATCCCACATGAGTGGCTGTGTGAATCGGACCCGGCCCTGACTCCACTGGATCCACTGTGTAGCTGCGGCAATCTCATCAGTCGCAGCCCACCCAAGCGTGTTGCACATGAACTCTGCACGATCGTTGAACGGTGCACCTGCTGCCAAAGTGGGCCTTGGGCCAGGAGATGCATGGTGTCCCCCTGCTGCAATGACATGGGGCTGCAAGACCAACAGGTCATCCTTGAGGCATTGGGCTGACGTCTCAAGACAGACTGCAGCATTGATCGTGCTCACAGTGTACTTGGTGTGCTGGAACTGAAACTCCGCATCACTCATGATTTCAGACGGAACTGAAGCAAGGCGACACTCAGATGTATCAGGACAATGCAAGATGACCTGGACCTGGTGGGCCTCACAGCACTTGTCTGCACAGATGACAAAGAGTGTAGTGACACCCCCAAAACTGCATGCGCGTGCAAGGCGGCATTCCGGATGAGCTTGCTGTACTTGTCGAATCAGCAGCATAATTTGGGCATACGGCCCAAAAACTTGCACATCACAAGAGTATTCCCCATGCAGGAAAATCACAGAAGCATTGCCAGCGTGATCATCAACAATACTTGCAGCTTGAATGAGAATGTCACGAACCCACGGAGTTGCAAGAGCTCGATCAAAGTCCAGGGCATTGTCAATCTGGAAGAGCTGACGGAGTGCAGACGGCACTGGCAGGGCATTGGACTCCTCGATGACCTCAGTTCGGAAAACGACATGACATTTCCCGATCGGAATGCCAGCAACTGCAATTTCCCACCCTTCTGGTGCATGGGTGAGGGCACGCATCGGTGTACCTGAGTGCGGCTTCTCATCAATGGTACGAAAGGACACCTGTGCAAGGAGGTCATGTGGACCCTCAAATGCAAGACAAATGGCTTCAAGACATGTGACTGTGTCAGGGACCATGCACTCGAACTTCACGTCTGCTAAGGTACCACTGAAGCAAATGCCACTCTGGCCTTGAGGCAGACTAATGACAGGACGAGGCGAAATCCAATGCAAAAGCTGAGACTTGCGGACTAGGTGTACGAAATCCCCACTTGCAAACAGCACAGCATTTTGAGATGTCAGTCGCATCGCCCACGCTTGTCGAACAGCTTGAAGCGGGTCAACCTGGACATGGCCGATCGAGTGAAGCGAGATCGCAACCGCAAGGATGGCATGCGGTGATGCAATGGCATTCCCGACACCCCGAAAAGCCAAATGCAGCTTGGAGGGGAAACTGCAGTCATTGATTGCCCCAAAAAGCCCACAGAACCGGGCAGGGTCAAAGAATTCGAATCCCGCACTGGTGTGATTGAGGAAGGTGTACAGCCCTCTTGACTGCACATGCTGCGGAGCAAGAGTGTGCTGTGATGTGTAGGCAGCACACAGTGTCGGCAACGGGTGTGATGTGGGCGGCACGCGAGCCCAGAGGACCTGGATAGGCTTTGGTTTACCCTCAAAGGATTTCTTCCCTGGGTACAAAGCAGGGTCACCGTAGATCGCACACTCCGACTCTGACAGAACCATCTGACTCCCCCAAATCGAAGGGATGCGAAATTGATAGCAGGGGTCACTCCACGGAGTCTTCGGAATGGACTTGAGGGCAAAAGAGAAACCCACAAAGTTTGGATTAGCATCAACACGGGCCCAAGTCGAGAGCCATCGAGTGCGGCAATGATCCGTGAGCTCATGCAGTGGTGTGACCTGCATCCATGTTTTCTTAAAACCACACACTGCAAACAGCATTTCTAAAATGTGGAAATGCCTGTGTGCCGCGATTTCATCGCTGCACTCTCCAACAATGAGAATGGGCTGCACCACAGTGAGAAGCTCAATGGCCTCGACAAAAGCAAGGCCATTAGCATCATTCAATCCAGCTTTGCGACCTGCTCTGGACCAGCTCTGACACGGTGGAGATAATGTGACACAAACGTTGGATTGCATGCGGCAAATGTTGAGCACCGTCCAGTCATCAACAGTCCCCAGAATACCAACCTGCTGCGAGTGTGGCCACGGGGTAGCAAAGTCAATAGGACAGCGATGCACCTTTGCATGGGTCCTCAAGCTCCAAATTTTCATCACTTCCTCATCATGATCCAGAGAAATCTCTTGCCCCACCGTGAAATCCTGCTCAATGCGATCCAAGGCAGCTGTAGCATGTGTCCAGCCTGAAAAGGATCCAGCGAACAAATGTAAAAAGTTCCATGGCATACATTGCTCAAGCTCTGGGCGAAAACAAATTGTAGCACCAGCAGCGAATACAACACCAGACTCATTCCGGGATGTAGTTCCACCAGCACATACCACACGAACTCCTGCTGACAACTGTATGGATCGGGCTGCCAAGCCCGGCATCGTAATCCGGAAAGGCGGACCATCTTCCCTTTGGGCATCAAAGCCAGCAAAAGGAACAAATGGAAACACATCAATGTCCAAGATGTCCTCATTGACGGCAATGACTTCCCCACATACAACAACCTTCCCCTCCAACTGCAGCACAGGGCCCGGAGTGGAACAGTCAGTAAGAAGGGAGCGGATTCTAGCCCGAAGCGGATCATTTGTGAGCTCCTCGGCGATTGCCAGAGCCTTCTCCATGGCTGACACCGATGCACCTTTCGGACCACAGCACCAGCAAATCACAGTGCCAAGGGGGGGTGAGGGATGCCCCACCCCTTATTGACACGGACTTGCACCGTGGAGGTGCACGATCCGCCCTGGGTGCCCGTTCACCCGAGCTTTCGGGCCTTTGAGCCCCGCAGCTCACCTATAACATGTTACATCATGTTATATCTAAGATTACTATACGATTCTACATGTTTCCACCTCCGATTCAACGTCACAACGTCTCCTCCTCTGTCGTGCCCGCGCGCGCTCTTCCAGCGCGCCGATGAGGTCGGCTTCATGTGAGTCACCCGAAGTCATCGCCGGCGCCGGTGGCCGCAGGTCGGGGGGCGGTGTCCGTCGGGGAGCGATAGGAGCGAGATGAGCGATGGGCTCCAAGCTTGGGGCTTCATCGAAATCATCCTCAGAAAAGAGCTGCTGGGTGTAGAAAAAGAAGGAACGTCATGGAAGATCATATACATGACAAGATCTTCCAACTGATCATGAGATTCTCTAGACTCTACGACTTCCCATGTAAATTAACTGTTTCTTGCTGCTCATGAGCAATGGCTTGACCGTTCCTCAAACACATCCACCAGCCCCGTGCAGGGCCCGTCTATAGATGAACGAGCCAATGACAATTCAGGTCCGGAGCATAACGAGCTCACGCCCAGTTGCAGGAAACCATGACCAACCTGGGCATCCTCCTGGACTTGCTTCAAGAATTTGAACTCCATGTGAACATCATGAAAACTGTTGCTTTGATCACCACGAGGGGTAGCGAAAGATCAGCCCTGTGGCGACGCTTTGGGACCTGCGACGCTCTGATGGATGGTTTCAACGAATCTGTTTGAAGATGAGACCCTCCACCACAGACTTGCTGCAGGATGGTTTTTTCCCGAGTGTAGCGCTGGGGATTGCCCGCTCAGCATCGCACGTCAAATTTGGAGCAACAAGCCGTCCCCCTTCATCAATGAAACAAAGACTGGACGCATAAAGCATTATAAAACACTATAGACGCACTTGGGGTGGGACATGGAGTCTGTGTCGTAAACAAATCCAACTATATATAAATCCAAGAGAAGGTGCGCAGTCCTTGTGCCGGTCTGCACTCCCCCCCAGGTCCAATGACTCAAAGACTCTTTGGCACAAACTACATTGCAAAGAAGCCATGAGAAGAGCAGGGCACCCCGGCACCCCATCTCCGGCTCCCTCCGGCTCCCTCCGGCTCCCTCCGGCTCGAGCCAAACACATCAGCCGGGCGGGTCTGGGGGTTCTCCGAGACAAAGCCAATGACACGCCAGTGGTTTTCCAGGCGCTTTTAGCCCTATAGCCTATAGCCCAAAGACCTAAGAAGGCACATCGACTCTTGCAAGCGGAATGTTGATGTCGGACAGGTGAAAACCGGCCAGTCCAACACTGCGGATGAGTTCGTAACATTGACCCACATGCCTGCTATTAGAAACAATAAGCTACTAGTAACAAGTGCCTTACTAGTAGTAACAAGTGCCTTACTACTAGTAGCAAGAAGCTATTAGAAACAAGATGAAATAAGAAGCTATGCTGTATAGATCATGGATACCCAGCACCCGACGCTCAAGGAACCCACGATGCGACAACTAAATTCTAGATTCTAGATGAGGCATTTGGATATGTCTAGATGGCGATGGCGTTGATTGACGTCTATATTCCCCCTAAACATACCAAACAGTGGCTTGTGCCTCCCTTCATTCCTTCATTTGGCTCGCCTGGATGTGTTCCTGTTGAACTCTTCCTGGCGTGACCGGGCGACAGCAGGATCACCCTGCTACACTTGGCCGAGAAAAGCCTTGGCAACGGTCGGTCACATGATATTGGTGACTCACCTTTGACCTGCAATTTGTAACAAGCATGAGGAAGCAAACTGGCGCTTTATGTTGTTTCCAGAATACTTTTGCACATCGGCGTGTCCACAAATGCATTCGTGAGGCTCCGAACCAAATCTTAGACATGCAACCTGTCTAGGGTCCACATCATTCAAATAATGAATAACATATTCACCGATGCTCTGAAACATTCCAAACAGGCCTGCCGAAGTCTGGTCCAGTGCGCAGTGTGACCCAGTTTTTGTTTCAGTGCTTTCGCCTTGCTGGAAACTTGCTCGTGAACAAAAACAACATGTCATGGATTGGTCCGTATCCCGGAAGGAATATCTTGAATATCCAAACAGCTGTTCAATGCTTTTCATAGCTCTTCAGTGGCGAGTGGCACGTCTTGAGAGTAAACTATTTTCATGACATACTTCACCCTTCGGAAGAGGGATTATAAGCGAGCAAGGTGTGCCAGCAGGAGTTGCATGCTCTGTTTGCTGGAATGCTTTCTTTCCAGCAGTTCTCCAACATCTTCTTCCAGTGCCTGCAGACTCTGGGCCCGGCTTGCCGGCTCGGCCCCCAGTCATGTAGCTTGGCTTTTGGATGATATCAATTGAAAAAGGTGTGAGGAATCTATTACTGAGCCGGGCCAGCATGCCAACAACGCAAGGCAATCCAGGACCAGATTTGAAGGTTCATCCTGCTCTTGACCGAGGCAAAGCGACGCAAAGTTCCCTATGAAGGCTCACCAACTCGATCGACGAGCGCCATCACTCCCTCATGATCAGCCAGGGAAAGATTTAGGGCAGGATGGCCGGCCTTTCCTCAAACAACGGCCTTGAATCAGTTTTTTCATGTCGCAAGAGCACCTGCATCGCGGTTTCTTCCAAGAGCTTCCGCAAGGAGGCCTCCTGACGTGACCCATCAAATCGACGAATTTCTTGCGGGAGCAGTGGGCCAATCGACGTGAGCGGGTCGATCGACGTGAGTGGGTCGATGGAGATGGAGTTAGGGAGAGAAGTGAGACTTGTCAGCAAAGCTTGCAAAGTTGACATGTCGACGAGTTCGGTTGACAAAAGTGCCCAAGAGTGGTGGCCAACATACCCATGTGTGTCCTCACTTCATGCCTTGTGGACCCGAAACTTCACCAACTGCGACTGAGAGGTGCTCCGATGCGTGAGGCAAGCACTTCTTAGGCAGACTGCCAACCGAGACGGTGAACAGACTGCCTCAGATGTCCCTCCCTTCCTCACATGGTGCGTTTTCCATCGTTTTTCACACCAATAGATTCTTAGCCAGGGGCTTTCAAGGAACCATTTTTGATGCGGGCTGGGGCGCCTTGAAACTCTGGAACACCACCCCGAGTGGTAAGACTCCTGGTGCCGCCACGGGCAAACACTCCCCTGACTTGTGAAGACATTGACATGACAAAATATGCTGGAAACCTCGAAGAGACTGTTGAGATATAGTACTAATTAATACACTTGGGGATGACATGTTGAGATCTTCTTGTTTTCGTACTCTATTAAACTAAAAATAGGTTCATGTAACAATGTAGATGGCACAACTCCCGGGTGCGCTGTGAAGCACCACCCCTAAAGACCAGGCCTTTTCAAGCAGAGTGGCCTCCTTGCGGAGCCCGGGATCAGCGAATCCAGCCGTTCTCAACGAAAACGGTGTACTGGGCACACGAGAAATCTAGCAAACATCAAAGTTCCTGCTGTTTGCGTTTGGTTGATTCACACTGCATGCTTCTAAAACTGTCGTTCTAGATACCACTCTCTTCCCTTTCCTTTCATGTCCAAAACGACCGGTACAATTCGGCGCATGGACTCTATCAAGCAAACAATCAGACTCCCAAGATCGAGTGACCAACGACAAAAGCACTTTCACCCTATCATGCTCCGTCGAACTTCGTTTTATACTTAAAAAGATGTGGGTGTGTATTAAAAGAGGGAGACCTCCCAAAGACCCCCTGGAAGAAGCGAAACAGACTAGTCTACCCATTCGTTGGGGGTCACCCTATATCACCCTATACTCATCCATGTCACTTTCACTCCCCAGGGCCCTGCCGGGCCGCCCTGCCTGAGTTTCGATAGACTTTTCGAGTCTTCTGAATCGTTCAATGCAATCATGGAAGAAGTTCTGGCGGTTTTCTCGCTGATCCTGGGCACGTGGGCGCCCTTTTTCCACCGGCGTCGTTGGTCCACCGAGGTGGACCTCCAACTGACCAGTGTTTGGTTGCAGGGTGAAGACATGAACTATGGGGAAAAAAACATGAAAGAACAATGAATCTCAGCCAGTTTCTGAGCAATTATCACCTGAATGACTATAGCATACTGTGATAACATACTGAACAAGGCTTCTTTGGCTAGCTGCTAGCTTTCTTCACCTGCCTGTTTTGGCGGTTCATGTGACCCTGTCAAAAACTGGCCAGAAAACGCTGAACCTCAGTTTTCTCGAGGCTCAGACTCTAGGCTGGATGAGAGAATCACTCTGTGACACGATACATAGTGTGGGTTGCTTCAAGTTTTGGCGGTATTGACATCCTGACTCATGGGGATCGGTGGGGTGTGGGCTCCTACTTAGCTCATGCGGGACTTGCATCTACCACACTGTCGCAGTTGGAGGGCAGTCCTGCAGGCCATGTCCTCTAAAGCCATTCAGTCTTCTTTACAACCCAACAACAAAAAAGCCGTCACCACTTTCAGTCAATGATGGAACCTGCAGGCCTTCAACAGCTCTAAATAAGTTTCCGTTCCCACTCCTCCACCACGCTCCACCGGTCGAAAACCCACCGCCCCGCTCCTGGACGAAGCTCCGGTGGAGGCCGCTGTTGGGGCGTAAGCGACCCATGATGATGACCGAGATCCGAGGACCCAGGGCTTCGTCCTCGAACCGTCGGACCAACGGTCATGTGGGGACCGCGAGGGACCGCTTCACATCGCCACTTTGGGCAACTCTCCTGGGAAAAGGAACACCGTCAAGCCCTGAAAAAAAGGAAACACATATAGATCCAGAGATATTATGTGTATGTGTATGTGTGTGTGTGGGTGGGGGGCATTGTCATAAAGTATATTTTGAACCCTTCAAAGCGATGGATAGCGATGGTATTGAATGCGTGAAGACGACAGCAAATTGCGCCTTGGTGTGGTTGAACTTCACCAGGACTTTTGGTGCAATGAACATGAGTTAACAGAAATGAAATGGCTGTTGAACTATGCTCTTTTGCTCGACATGAACATCTTGAGGACGTTAGCTATGGCCTCTTTAGTAATTGTTATGTCCATTCAAGCACATATGGCTTTCTGGCTTGAGCTGATGCTGAGTCTGAGTCCATTACCAATTCTCACGGGGTGGAATCGCTGCAGCAACAATTGCCTTCAAAAACACTGTATCTACCTATCTAGCCCTACGAGTACAAAGATATCTTGTCTCTTGACACTGAACATGATTAAATATCATCAACAAACAATTGGGGTGTTCCATGAGTCGACTTTAACGTCATCTCTCGGGGTGGCCTCCCCAGAATGTCTTCTTCCGAAAGCACCAAACCGAAGGATCACCGATAAACAGAACCAAAACATGAAAAAAACACCGCCGGAGGATCACCGGGCTCCTCCACCGGGTAAACCCCGTGCATAAACTTCTCGTCCACCGAGTGGTCGAAGGCAAAGATGTCGCCGTTCCGCTGCAGGAACGACCTCTCAGAGGGCAAAACCATGCAAAGCCCCTTTTCTTTTTCAGGTCGGCCGTGATTGGTGCTTGGGAAACCCAAAGAAGGGGGAGAACGAAGGGGGGAGAGGGTCCCATGAGAATAAGTATATTTATATCTTCTGATTAGTATAATTGAGCATTCTTATTAGCAACTTATTAGTTCCCCAGTTATTATCTTCTTATTATCGATAGTTGCTCCGTTGCTCCATCACTCCACTCTACTGGGGGGATCTGGGGGAACTTCCTGGCATCGTTCTGGTCCCTCATCCCCCGCCGGACTATACCCTCCCATCTATCGCTTGGCAGCAGCGCAGCTCGGTCCGCCTCTCAGCTCCAGTGTCCTCGTGGTGGAAGGTCAACAACCTGGCAGCGCCAAAGGAGGCGCCCACGGTGATGTTGTGTTCCGCGTGCCCGTCGTGATGGAACTCGCAACCCACCGAGCCATCCTGGAGCGACTACTGCGATTTCGTAAGGCCAGCGGAGGACGATCCAGTCAGGTGACCGGAGGATGTTTTGATGCAATGACGAGGCTTTTTTGGGAGGAATTCACTCACGTTACTCACGTTTCATACGATATTAATCCATATTGGGTCCGCTAATTATACTTGCTGCCGTTCTTGACCTCGCCACTGGTAGCCACAAGAAGTCCCAGCGTGTCGGAGGCGGCCCCAATTGCTCCTCATAGAAGTTGGCCCACCACTGCAACATCTCAGCATTCACCATGTCCATGAGCTTCCGCAAGGTCTTGGCCTTTGCAAAAAGGTGCTTGGGGTGGTCCTTCAAAGCTTGGTCTCGTGGTACTCCACCGATGGACCTGGCTGGTCCTTGGTCCTTGAACCTCGCCCCATACTATGAGGAGCATCAACATCATCAACATTTGACTCGGGGAGAAAGCAATCAAACATCTAGCAGCTGGCAAAGAAAGACATCTGCAAAAAAGGGCAGTTGATGTCTATACAGACCCCCGGCGTGGTTCAACTTGTGTCAGACTGACATGCATTTGTTGCTTCGACCTGCAACCCAAGTTGGCATACCCGCACACGGGCAAACGGGATCATTCTGAGTCACGTGGTGGTTAAACAAGTTGTGGAAACCAAACGTGCTTTTTAATTGTGTTCTTTCTGGTATCTTGTAAAAGGTGTCCAACATAGATCCTCTTTTCATCTCTCTTCTGCCTTGGATCTACAAGGAGCATACCTCAAGTCTGCCTCAAGTCCAAGTCATAAGACTTCAAGGACCTAAATCTGGTGGGGGCCTCTTCACGAAGTTCTCCTCTTCTTGACTTTAGGCCATCTTAGGGGGATGCTGCTTGGCTATCAGGTTGGAGGCCATTGCTTCTAGGTTGGAGGCCATCGCTCTTAGGTTGGAGGCCATCGCAAAAGGGCACCTCTTCCAACCTGCAAGACCCAGGCGCCAGGTACGGCAGCTTCTGCCCGTCGGCGGCCTCCACTTGTTCGCTTCCCAAGCCGTTCCTGGCGTGGACACCGGCCAACTCCGACCAAGTGATGAAAGGCCCCATGAAGGAGCTTCAGTTGTTGCTCCAGCCTTTCTGGTTCGAACCTCATGAACCCCTGAAAGATCTGAAAGGTAAAGGATGGTAAAGGAGGTGCGAAAATCGGCACCAAAAAACACCTTGGCCCCACATCCACTTCCACCAGGCTTTCTGCCCGATTTGTCCTCCAAGGTGTCTTCCATTTCCCATCATTGGCAGGACGCCAGTTCCCACTGAAGGGCCGTTGCCCTTGCGAAAGCTCTTGCCGAATCGCATGGAACATCTGTAGGTCCTCCTCGCATGCTTTGCTCTCAAGGACACGGGCGGCTCGCTAGTGGGTTCTCGAACACTTGGGGGCTCACCATGCAAACAAACACTGGAAACCACCTGCCCAAATTCCAACGATCTACCACCAATTGATCGAACGTGTGATCAGTGATGAGTCATACCAGTTCGTATGCGTTCAACCCTTCGGATGCTCTGCAGGTTCGCTCTGCGCACATCAGATACATCATATACGGTTAGTGGATGTATATAAATGGAGTGAACAATATCAAACAAACATGAAGTACCCGTACATTCCCCAACAATCTGCTACATCGAATTGTCCCGGGCAAACAAACCGTTCTCCTGATCACAGGCACAAGCGGTCACATGTTTGGTGCCCTTCTCCAGGATAGTCGCCAGCTCGGGTGGCATGCTCCCAGTGCCCTCAGTGCTCCAGCTCCCGTCGGCCGCTGCTCCCGGTGCTTCTTCCAGCTTCACTGCCAGCGTCTTCCCCGCGATCTGCGTGCTGATCCACCCCTCGCTGGGGCCAGTGCCCGAAATGAGCCTGCGGGGCGAGGGGAGGTTTTCTCTTTTTTGCAGGTGAAGTGCATGGAGCAGAAAGGATGTGGACTGCTTTTGGGCTGAATCATTCACCATATTGGATGAGATACACTCTTCAACATATTTCTGCAAGCTCCTTGTGACATGACGATGAACTTTTCACTTTCCATGACATTTCACCAGAATCAAGTAAGTATTATTAGCGTGTAGCATGCCTAACCTCCCCATTCATCCCACACCGCACTCCAAGCTCTTTCCACCCACTCGCCGGTAGTGCAAGCGCGAGGACCCCGCGCGTCCCAACTCGTCCACCAGGGCGTTTTGCGCCAAGCGCTGCGGCAACAGCGCTTCGGTGAGGCTGGGACCTGTGTGGTTTTGGAGCAAAAGGAAGGCTGACCCTGGTGTCTTCAAAACTCCCATTCGTAATGCTTCACATGGCAAGTTGTATTGAAAGCAAACGTTGCCGGAAAGGTGCTTCTGTGTGGATGTTCAGGCACACACACGCAGGCGCACGCACACACTTTGACACTGGTTCTCCATTAAACTCAATTTCTCCGATGGGAAGAAAGGTGATGGAACTGCATGGTGGAGAGTCCGAAAGACTTGTAGGTGTTTCAACAAGTTGTTGGTCAAGTCTGCTGAACGATCGGTCGGCGCGGCTCAGCTGCAAGATAAACGCGGCAAAGGGGAGGTTTTGGGGAGGAATCATGGAACCACCATGACAGCAAACCAAAGGAAGAGTGGAGTCACAGCTTGATAGAACGGCAGGTACGCAGGGCTGATCGGGCCCTGCTTCCCACTCCCCACAGCTTCGTTGCGTGTGGTAGGGCGGGAGTGCCACACGCCCCTGCCTGTGTAAAGTGGAAAGAGTGGTGGTGAAAGACCCTTTGTCCAGGGTGGGACACACACAGGTCGCCGCATTCGGCGCTTTTTTTCAAAAACCGGTGGCAGGCGTGGTAGTTATGCCCCTTTTGGACATATAGGTTCACGAGTTCAGCCGCAGCAGCGTCAGCGCTGGAGGGTGGAAATGTGTATTTTCGAATGGTGTGGAGTCGTGATTGGAGGCCTGATAGAGCCAAGCGCTGGCTCCCGGCGGTTGTGGAATCCCGGATTTTCCAGGGTTGAGAAGGTTGCATGTAGGTGATAGTGCGTTGTGGGAGGTCGATGTTGAAACCGAGGAGATGAAAATCCTCCACCGGTTCAAGTTCCACAGGGTCGCCAAAGAAATTGTGGTGGATGAGGGTTTGGATAGCCGGGTGTTGGAGGAAATGTTCGTTGTGGACAATGAAACGGTTGTCGACATATCGACAGTAAGTAAAGTGGAGGTCTGTGTGTTGAAGGAGGTTGTTATGGATCTAATGCCATGAATGCTCAATGAGGGTGATGGCAACATTGCATAGGGCTGGAGAGAGCTGGGATCCAATCCCGGCCCCTCGGATTTGTTTGTAAGTGTTGTTGCAAGCCCGGAAAATGCATGTGTCGAGGGCAAAAGCCACAATGGTGGTGATGTCGGAAGTCTGGATGGTGCGTTGGGTAGGGTGTTTGCGATGGTGTCTGCCAATGTGGGAGTGGTGGAACGGATTGCCGGTGGCCTGGACATCCACCGTTAAGGTGTGTGTGGATTGCTGTTGTTGCCAGTGGAGAACAAGGGAGTGGACTGCATCGATGAGTCTGTGCTGGGGGACGGAGTTGAAAAAGCCGACCAGGTCATCATTGGTGGCGTGTAGTGAGATGTCGGGTGGGGTTTGGGTGAGGTAACTGTGAAAGTGGTGCCAAAGCTGTGGAATGGACATTTGGCCTGGATGCTGAGGGTAGAGGTGTTGGAGGATAATGTCAAGGGCACGGCTGGTGATGCGTAGCAAGTTGCCGCTGAGTGATTGGAAGTAGGATATAATTGTACGGCCTTTTTGCCAGTGCTTCTTCTCTTTAAGGTGGACAAAGCCGTAGGGGATGTTGAAGTCTTTTCGGAAGCCCCACTTGTAGCGGGTGCGCAGGATGGGGGGGACGGTGGCGGCCAGGTGGTCATGGATGTTGGCGACAGTGATGTAGGGAAGTGGTTCAAATAGTTCGGGGGATTGCCACGTGTTCAAGGCGCCAGTGAAGTATTGGCGAGGGCAAAACAGTCGCAGTTGTTGGAGCTCATGATCGGCATGGTGGAGTAATGTGTGTTTACCCAAATGTTCTTGGAGTTGACGAAGCAGGCGGGCCGTAAAACGGGGTTGCTGCTTGAGGTGTGTGTTGTGAAGGCGCCATTGGTGCTCAAGGAAAGGCTGTAGGTGTTGAACTAGGGATGGTGGAAGCCCTTGTAGTTTGAGCCATTTGGTATAGGCCGTCTTGAAAATGAGGAAGTACCGAGCTTTGCTTGGGTAGTAGGTGCTGTTCATATTGGCGTTGAGGAAAATGCTGAGGTGTGTAGGGAGTTGGAGTTGGTCAAGTGTAAGGATGTAGTGGCCGTTGATGGTAGGGGTATCGGGATCCTGCAGGAAGGTGGGAGCGGAGGGTTTTTTGGGCGGCTTCCCTCAGTCTGTGGGAGGGGAGGTGGAGGGGAATGGTGAAATGCTTGTGCTGCTGGATGGTGGTACGAAGCCATTGTTGGCAGTGCTTGGTAAAGTCGTCATGGGCTAAGAAGGGCACTGTCAATGGGATGTTTGGCTTTGGTGGCGTGAGGTTGCGGTAGATCAAGGCTTTGTTGAGGATGTGAAGAGCTCGGCTGCGGCCAGGTTCTTCCAAATTTGCGGCCATACGCCGGATTGCATACACCTCGAGGTCCGTGTGGCGGCCGCTTCTTATCTGTTTTGCTGCCTCAAAAGAGGCTGCGGTGTGTTTGGTAAGGTTGCGAAGAAGTTGGAGGGCGTGATGCTTAGTGGAAGTGTAGAGGTGTGGTTCTCTGAGGGTGTACTGGCGTTGTCGAAGGCGTCGGAAAAGTCGTTTGTGGGTGGCTAGTCTGGAGTAGAAGTGGGCTCTGTGTTTCGCGAACTGCCATCCCTGAGCTTTGAGTTTGAGGTGGTGGGAAATGAAAGGCCAGTTGAGTGAAGGCATCCAGTTGGCGAGGTAGTGGTGCTCTTGGATCCAGGCTTGGTCGTATGTGTCATGGGAGGTGAGTTGAATAGTGGTGTAGTGGTGGATGTTGTTGTGTGAATGCCAATAACGTAAGGAGAGTTCTGCAGAAATGGGAATGTTGTTTTGGAGTTGTTTTAGTTTTGCGCGGCGATTGTGCTCGCGGTGGGGGATGCCGATAGCTGTGGAGCCAACGTAGAAGTGGCCATGTTGATGGTAGCAGCGTTGGGGTTGGTCGGGATTGAAGTGGAGCTTGATGTAGACGGAATTGGAAGAGAGGAAGTTGTGGTAGTGGTAGGTGTGGGGTAAAATGTGGAGCTGGCGGAGGCGGTTGCGCCATTGTTGTGAACGACGGGTGTTGGACGGGTATGCGAAAAGGAGTGTGATGTGGATGAGGCCGGTTGCAAAGATGGCCTCGGCGCGGTCGATGTATTGGGTGCGGTGAATGAGCATGGAAAGTGCTCGGTGCAGGTGGAAGAGTTGGGTGAGGTTGGTGTGGCTGGGTTGCTGCTGGGCCAAGATGGCGAGTCAGCAACCAATGGCTGCGCCGACTCCCACCAGCTGTTGTAGGCTGCGAATGGGGAGTCGGTTGACCCGGTTGAGGGGGAGGCCATACTTGGTGGCTGCTTCTTTTAGCTGCTGCGTGGTGACTTTGCTTGTTTGCAGCAGTCGGATGACTTCCTTCGCAGCTTCTTGGATGGTGGGGTCAAAGGTGGTGACCCATTGTTGGATCTCTGGGTGGTTCCAGCCTTCGGGGATATCGTCTTGCAGCGTGGGGTGTGGTGGTTGCAAGACGTCGGTGATGGCTGGTGGTTTCGGTGGTGGTGGCGTGGGTGCGTGAGAAGGGGCGGCTGGTGCAGAAGATCGGCTGGTGTTCTTGACTGGTGTGAGTGGGTTGCCCAGGTCGTGGAGTTTCTGACGTGCACGAGCCAGTTCGTCGTTGGTGTTCTTGAGGGCGCGTAGGGCGGAGCCTTCCGCAGGTGCTGGAGAGTGGGTTTGCAGTTGGTCGATAAGCAGTTTGATGAGGGGAGCGTGAAACGCTCGGGCATGGGTAGTTTTGTGGGGAATGTCTGTGCTCTGTTGTGTGTGGAGAGCTTCCGCGATGCCGTCAAGGTCAAGGCGGTTCTCGCGGAGTTGTTGGAGAAAATGAGTCACGAAGACCGACTCCGCTATGCTTCTGGTGGCAATGAAACCTGTGAATTTGCCGTTGCTCAGGGTACGGGCGGTGAACTCGGAGGTACCGTGGTAAGCCAATTGCCACGGGAAAACCTCAAAGGTGGGGAGGCCGGCCACTCCTGCTTTTCGAGACCACTGGGTGGGTTGAATTGTACGATGTAGTTGGTGGCCGTGCAGGGTGTTGGAGTCCCAATGTTGCTCGGTTGGGTTCCAGGAGTCGGGAACAGGTGGTGTGGGAGATGGGATGTGTGGGGGCGGTGGGGCAGGCGCTGTGGTGCCACGTGTGGTGGGTGGTGGCGGTGGGCTGTGTTGGAAAGTCGATGGTGGTGGAGTAACGGGTTCGGCCGTGGGCAGGGGTGGCGGTGGCGGAGGTGGAAACTCCGGCTGGGAGGTGGGTGCCTGGGGTGGGTGTGTGTGCTGCGATGGTGGTGTGTACGGTGGAGTCACATATGGGTTGGAGTGGTGGACGTGATGTGTACGAAGTGCGTGAGTGAGTGGGCCATAGGTGCCTGTGGGGCTGTAGGCGTGGTGTGCGGTGGTGGGAGGAGAGATTGTGGTCTCTGGGTTGGTGAGCTGCTGATGATGTTGCTGCATCAAATACTGATTCCAGTAGTATTGCTGCCACTGCGCGTCCATGGTGGCTGGGCGAAGTATCACTGGATCGTGGGCGTGGAGCACCGGTTGTTGATTTGAGCAAGCTGAACATGCGAAAACAGGTGTAGGACAGTCAAATGAGGGAGCAATGGTGGCGTTAAAACAGTCATGCTGTCGAAAAAAGGTTCAAAAGAGGAAAACCCGAAAACCGCGGAGAACACAGGAATGCCGGAAAAAACCCAAAGAAGTTGTCTGTGTGGATCTGAAAAACATGTTGAGTATCAGACTGTCCACTGAAGCGCGCTGTTTTTCGTTGTGCGAGGTGAAACTGAACGTGTTCGTCTGCGGAGCAAGCTGGGCGAATGTCCGAAGATGATGGTGGGCATGTTGTTAGAAAGTTGTGGTAAAAACAAAACCTACATAGGAAAAACGTGGAGGGAGTGAGGGTAGGAAAAGGTGTTGTACGAATCATCCTCGGTGAAATCATGGCAGGCGCCTCAGGAGCTGCAGCTGTGTGATCAATGGTTGTCTGCATGCCACGGGTCGGTAACTGGATCATAGTCCTGTTGTGATAGCGGCAAGGGGCGCCCTTG